GCTTGACCGAGACATTCCCCGCAGGCAGTGGATTGGAGGCTGAGCTGCGTCAGTATGCATCATGACTCTAGGAGGGCGGGTGTCTTCAACACCTTTCATTTGCGGGGAGGGAGGGAAGGACCTTTATGGTCTATGTGGGTGTGGATGATTGTAGTACAAATAGTATGCTGGGTTTCAAGGGTTTCGAGTGTTTCGAAAGGGCCAAGCGCTTGAAACAGAAATGTCTGTTCGGACAGTTCGGTTTTGGCGGGTGGAGCAGATATGTCTCTAACGCCATTTCTTCACGTTTTTCCAAGTGTTTCAACATTTCAAGTGTTGCAAGTGCTTCAAGCGTTTCAAGTGCTTTAGGTGCTTCAAGTGCTTCAATTGCTTCAAGCGTTTCAAGTTGGACCGAAACACTTGAAACAGAATGGTCTCACAGGACATGCTGTTTCACGTGTTCCAATGTTTTGCAAATGTCACAACTTTCTTTCAAGTGTTTCATTTTGCTTCGGGTGTGTCAGCTTTGCACGTGTTTGCGGGTGTTTGAACTCGGCGTGCGGATTCCGGCCGGACTCCGGCCCCAGATGAAAGCACGAGAAGCACTTGAAACAGAATTAACTGCCTCCGCCTTCTGTGCGCCTCCCTGCCAAGCTCCCAACGGCATGGTGTCGCCCAGGTTTTTTTTCCTTCACCCTGAAGCCCAGAGGGCATCCTGGGCAGTTGTCCTCAAAAAAGTCTGGCTGTGAATGCGGGAACTGTTGAGTCAAGACCACTACTGGGACCCCAATAGCTACAGGGCTGAAAGTTGAAATCTTCGCAGTCTGGGTAGCCATCAAGGCGGCTCATAATGCCACCCACCCTGTGTGGACAACTTCGCAGTCGGTGAAAGTAAGGCTTTTTCATTGGCTTTCCTCTCGTCCAGACTTCTGGCTGGTGGCCACACTGGACTGCACCCTGGTAAGAATGCAAACTTCATTAACCACGCGCCGCATTTTGTAGGTGGGCCTCCTGCTCTACGGCCTTCAAGTTTGCTTGACATGCATTTCCGTTGGTTGTTTCACAGAAAAGCAAGCATGGAGAATCTCGATTGACATGATTACACGAGCCAAACACTTTGTCAACACGACCAGCGACCCCACAATTCCATCACAACGTTGAGTTAATTCATCGCCGAACATACATTTTCCAATCGTGCTGTTCTGTGTCTCGGACATGGGTCTCAATGATCAACAAGACATCTCTTTCATCTGGTGAGTTATGACAGTTAGCTTCTCAGTCCCTTTGAGTTTTCGATTTGAGAAACTGTTCTTGCATCTTTCACAATTGTTGCAAAGTGTCTTCTTTTCCATTCTTTTGGATGTCTTGTTCGTGGGGCCTGAGTATCTTTTGTCTCTTGATTGGTCAGATGGTGCCTTGAGAGAGAGAGAGAGTGTGTGTGTGTGTGTGTGTGTGAGAACAAGAAGAAGACGAAGAAGAAGAAGAAAAGTCGTGTGTGTGTGCGCGTGCTTGGAAGTAATTCTGGATTTGACCGACAGTTACGAGATGATGTGCCGGCAGGTTTGTTTCTTCGTCAACTCTGGTTCCGAGGATCTCGACCAGCGCCGTGTGATAAAGCAAAGTCTGTGCATCTCACCGGCAGGCAAATGATTTGGCTGTTCGACTGGCATTTGCACGCCCACGCCTCAGCCCAGTCTTGCACTTTCAGTTGCGGTAGCATCGGTTGCCATCTTCCTCGCAAGTAGATGTCCTTTGGTTGGTTGTACCAGGTACGAGCTCCCGGAATGTCATTGTGGTCGACCATGGGTGCCATCGCATCAGTGCCAAAATGGTTCGGAAAACAACTGAAGTCCGCTTCTTCTTCTTCTGCCGTCTAGATAGCCAGCCTGGCCAGGTACCATGGCCACACTCAGCAGACGATAGAGAGCTTCGATTGCTCATGGATCAGTGATGGAGCTTAGCTTGCACGATTTTGCAGAGATGGTTGCTGCCCCACTCAGGATCAGTCCGTACAAGTTTGACCACAAAGGAGGCGAAGGTGCGAGGTCGAATATCCACAAGGTGCTTCAGTTTACGCCCTTCGGCTTGCCCGGGCTTGCTCCATTGGGTAACTCTAATGGCTCTAGGTGTCAACATGCAGGTGTGATCTTCCCGGAACTTTTGGTGAAGCAGGAATTTCCAAGCAAACTCCCAAATGCCGGGTCACAGGAGTCGCAGGTTAAAACCTTGAATGGTGTTCGCGTATGATTGAGTGCCTCCTCACCTGCAAAAAATCAGTTGCGGCCGAGCAGTGGCGGTCAATCAGCAGCATGGGCGCACCAAGTTCAGGCTTGATAATGCTTGTCTTGCAGTTAGCCTGTGGATGCTTGTGCGCCTGGGCGGGGGGGGCTGCTGATATGCAAGCCGCAGCGACAGCCTGGAGGGCGTGTTTTTGCGAGCGTTGTGTTGGCGAACACATCAATTCAAGGCCCCAGAATGTAGTCCAGCAAGGGTGCATTGCGTAAGCCGAAGCAGAGGCACTTGCGCTTCTTCCAGCAACAAGAATCTGCACTACTGAAGTCTTTGCCTAGCACCGTATTGTGTTTAGTGCACTGCACTTATTGTAGCTGAGTTTAGAAGCAACCATCTTGAAGCCAAAGCTCGGTGGAGCTTCCTTCCTTGAGCATCAACAAGAGCAGTGGCCTACCCAGCTTTCCGGAAGTTGCTCCGTTCCAAAGGGTCCCGATTGCGTCTATTGCCATCGATTTTCGAAGGAGAGCAGCAACCCGCTAAGTCGCAGTGGATATGTCTCTATTCGTTACAGTATACAAGTTAAATGAACATGAACCACATTCAGCCACGCCCTGCGAGGTGCCTTGTCCAGATACATACCGGGGACCACATCGCGGGTCGGATGCAGCAGGGCAGTATGCGGCAACAGTAGAAGCAGCGTGCAGATCAGCCGGGGATGTTGCAGCCTTTTTTGTTGAATCAGGCATGTCAGTAGGTGGCGTCATTCTGCCACCTAAAGGTTACCTTGAAGCAGCTTACAAAGCTGTACGACAGGCAGGAGGCGTTTGTGTCGCTGATGAGGTTCAGGTAGGCTTTGGGCGCTTTGGCGACTATTTCTGGGCCTTCGAAGAGCAAGGTGTGGTACCGGATATTGTGACCATGGGCAAACCGTTTGGGAATGGCATGCCTTTGGCTGCAGTGGTAACGACAAAGCAGATATCTGACGCGTTTCACAATGGTCTCGAGTATTTCAATACTTTCGGAGGCAATCCTGTGTGTTGCGCTGCTGGTTTGGCTGTATTGGATGTCATCAAGGAGGAGGGGCTGCAAGACAACGCTGCGAAGGTTGGCAGGTACATCTGCGAACAGGTGCGACAGCTCTCAGCAAAGCATCCGCTAATTGGTGATGTCAGGGGCCGTGGCCTCTTCATCGGGATTGAGTTTGTTAGGGACCAAGAGAAAGAACCAGCAACTATGGAGACCTCTGAGATTTGCTCGCGAATGAAGAGTGAGCACAGAATATTGATGAGCATTGACGGGCCGCATGATAACGTTCTCGTCATCAAGCCACCAATGTGCTTTTCCGTCGCTGATGCAGACTGTATGGTGCGTGCAATGGACGAGATTCTTTCCACACTTGTAGGTCCCATTTCTGGTGTACAGGTCACACACACGCCCACCTGATGGTCGTGTTGCAGCCTCATGCCAAAATGCTTTGTCTGCCTCTGCCGCACAGAACTAGTTGCGAAGAAGCTCATTGGCTCGTTAGTGCGGGCTCACAAGGTCAATGTCGTAGACTCTTCCAACTCGCAGCCCCAGAAAGGCTGAGACATGCAGAACAAATCATACTCGAAGCACGTCGAAGCCCTAGCCGCGAAAGCACACCCCAAAGTACACCCCAACCATTCCCAACTTCCGCAGCTGATGCCTTGGATGACGGGGCCTCATGAGCAGCCGGATGGTGAAAGGACCCTTGGCGTTCTGGGCGGTCAAGTCGCGAAAGCTCCCCTGAAAGAGCTCTTGTCCAAATACCTCGAGCGAAGTGAGCCTCGAAGGCTTTGGGGGTGTAGGGAGCCGGGACGGCCCCAACGTGTCTACCTTTTTGCTGCTTTTTGCGCAGCTTTTCTTCCATTTTGAAGTCGGATTACGGGCGTTGGCCTTCGGGTCTGTTTTTGGGGTGATTTCGGGCGGAGTTGGGCTTGTGCCCCCATGGCGTTGCCGCAGGACAAACTGCGCCCCGCTGATGCTCATGATGTCCGCTTTCCGGGACAAAGTAACGTCTTGCTGCTTGCTTCCTTAGCGAGTTAAAGTTGCTGACGCGCCCCCGTGGTGGCGAGACGACCCGATGCTGTTCAGAATGCTCGCATGGCGGTGAGAGGAACGACAGGAGCCCACGGCTGCATGTGTCGGTGTCGCTCATGCTCCTGATGGTCGCCCCCTGGGCACAACTCTTGTGAAGCTTGCTCCTATGGCGGTGGTCGCTTCAATGCTTGTACCGTTTGCATTCGCCCGGTCCTTGAAAATTGTCGCCTCAGAAACCCATTCCCGGTTTATGGTGCAGCGTGCAGCTGCTTTCTCATGGACAATACCCCCACTTCCTCCCCGAGCTCTCCCCCCATTCCTTGTGCTGCTACTTTCCATCCCCAACGAGAAATATCTCAGTCGGGGATGGACACCTGCCTGGTGCAGCTGATTTGCCATGGACGCTACGCCCCTCCCCGCTCCCCCGAGCTCGCGGGATGTCGGCTCCACGTCAGGATTCAGCACGCCCAAGACCTGGACAGGATGAGTCAGGGTGTCGGGTTTAGCTTTTCATGAGCCAGCGGGTTTCGGGCGCAGGGTTATGTGTGTGGGGTCCGGAAGTCTGCTTGCACAAAAAACCCTTTTGTTGGGGACGAGAGGTCTTGGACGCATCGCATCAGAGCTTTCATCCTCCACGCTGCGCGTTTCAAATTGATTTCTTTTGCGAGACGCTTTTCCTGATGCCATGGCACCTTTCTATGGGGCACCTCTCTGATTGCGAGCGCTGCAATGGAAGTTTTGGCCTTTTAGGCTGGCCTGGGGCTGCGTCCCATCGACGAAGGCTTGGGGGCAGCCTTGGAGTTGGCCCTCGAACCGGCGCACCGCCCGATGCCCTAGAGGCCCTAGTGGGATCCTCCGGCATTACGACATGCTTCCGATGCCTGATGCGATGATGGAGGCGATGCGGGCGAGCGCCCCCGAGTATGTGTACTCAAGGACGGCGTCGCACCTTCATGGCGCGGCAGTCCTTGTCCTGGCCGTAACTATAGTGGCCTCCGTGGTGGCATGGTGTCTGTCTCTGCAGCCGAGCTGCGGAAGCGATGTTACCAGCAGACCCCCGTAACAGTGTTGTGCAGCTGGCTTGCCTGCTGCGCGAACCGGGGATGCCGCGAGCACCTCCATTGAGCACCCGCTCTCCAACACGAGAACGCGCAGGCGGTGCTGAGGTGCCTTCCGGTCGCGGACCGCTGCAGCTGCTGCCTGAGCCATGACGGGGGCCGAACTAGATGGAGGCCATGCCATCGAGGGCCGTTGGTTAGGCTTCTAGTAGCTCTGGGCCTGGCCTTACTTCCGGGCCTGCGGGGACCTCTCTTGCTGGGCTCTTCCGGGGTTTTGCCGCAAAAGCGTTTTTTTTCCTTGCATCCGTCGAAAGGCGTCCAGTAGTGGCTGCAATTTTTACATCGTAGCTGCTCAAGGGCTAAATCTGTCACGTAAGGTTCTTGGAAGCCTAGCAGGGAGCTGCCGATGGAGTGCCGATGGTCTGTATGGTGTTGAAAGTGATGGAGCTCTTCTCAGGAGTCCTGGTTCGGTGAACTCGGTGAGCCCTCCGGTGCAAGAGCCGCGATCATCGAGAGGAGCTTCGTTGTAGGAGCATATTATGACTGCACGTGCTGCTCAATCAAAGATTTGTCATGAACTCGGGAACTTGCTGTGTCGACCTGCAAGGAGCCCCCGAGCGTCCGCCAATTCCACAGGCCTGCTCTGCATGATCTTCTCGTGTTGTCATGCCTTTTGGAGTGCGATCACAATGCAGCAAACCATTTTGAGTTCTGGTTGCTGGGGTTGCTGTTGATGTCGAAGCTGTTTGATCCGTCGCTTGCTCGCAAGCTCCTTCAGCTTGTTAGCTTGTTCCCACCTTAGAGGCTGATGTAACTGTGTCGTGTTCCAGTTACGTGGACCCTATTTCACCTTTGCGTAGTCGACTTTCCGGTGGCTGCTTTGTAGATGGCGCTGAGCACTGGGTCGGGTTGTGCCATCCGGGCGACCCTGGGCCAGGTGGTAGCAAAGCAACGAGTGTGGCCATCGGGGCGAGGTTACAGCAGACGTCCGCCAAGCTCTTCAACCTGGGTGGCCACTCTGTGGACCTGTGTGGACTCCTCCGCGCACTCCGCCGCTTTCTCGAGTGCAGACGCTTGGGAGGGCATCCTGTCCACCATCGTCAAGAAGCTACTACTGGCCGCCGGCTGTCGCCGTCGCCGTCGCTGTCGCTGTCGCTGTCGCTGCTGCTGATGCTGCTCTTGATGCTGCTGCTGTTGCAGTGTTGCCGAGGTTTTTGAATTCCAATTTTCGTGTGGTCTGTTGCTCGTTGGTCAGGCATGGATCTATGGAAGCACTGGAGGTGGGTGCAGCTGTCAACCTTTCTCAGCTTCCTTGCACCGGTTGCCTTGCTCGAAGGCAGCCTACCTTGTGCCCAAAGCTGGCACCCTACTGGTAGACTGATGCATGGTCCGATGCCTGCTGGCAGGCGCGACAGTCGGGCTGATACTTCCTTGTTTTACTAGTACTGTTGGGCATGCGATTCGTAGATTTTTCTGCAGAAAATAGGCAAGTCATTCGGTTGTATTCTTGAGCTTACCTTGTTGGTGCCGCATCTGGCGAAGCAGGATGCTGCCACCTCAGTTGGCGTGGACCCGGCCTGGATCTTGATCTTGTATCTGGTAGTAACTTCTTTTTTGCGTTCGCTCGCAGACAGGCCTGGAACTCCCCGAACCGTGGCAGTTTGGACCCTGTGAGTTGAAAATGGTGTCGTGGACGTCGAGTGCATGTCCCATGTTTTCGCGTGGTTTTCTCAAGTGAAGGTGCCAGCTGCCTGTTATCGGACGGCGGGGACGCCAGGGACGGCGGTGCCTCAGGCCCAAGCAAAGAAAACACAATGTTCGCAAGGCTTAACCGCAGCGAGGCTCCCGAAGTAGTCGTTCCCGCATGATTTCAATAGAAGTTTTTCGCTCGAACAGAGTTGGCGAAGGCTGTGCGCCCTCATGGCCCGATCGTCGTTGCCACTTGGCGTTCTCTCACACCATTCGGTTTGTCGCTTTGCTATGTAGGTGGAGCAACAGACAAGTCCATTTGCCGGTCTCTGGATGTCCTTGCTGAAGGTCAGAGAACTTTCGCCGGGCAGGTCTGCAACCTAGTCCAGTCTGGCGAGTCATGATATTACCTTGAATGCTTTAGGGACAGGTTTGGAAGAGATCCGGAACTTTGCAAGTCCGCTGAAGGCCCATGGCCTGTGCAACGCATGTAGCACCACGAGCGGTGTCGCCAGCGATTCGCTCTGCTCGTGGCTTGGTGTAGCCTGAAGATGATGAAAACATATGCCAACCCGAGATGAGGTTGCTTCAACTGTGCGGCCTGTTCAAGTGCCACAGGCTCCAGATGTCATTCAATATCCAGCCAGTGATTGTTACATGTGTTACCTTATGTTACCTTGCACGTCCAGGGACAGATGTCTCCACCAGTGCTGCTGCGGCAACGATCACTATCTCCGTCTCCCATTGTAAGGCTGTTGACGCACGGGAACGTCTCTGAAGCCGAGAAGTGGGCAACAACATGCAGTTTTGTTTGGAGATGTCAGGCCGCCTGCAGCTACCCCAGCAGGCCCCGGCCAGATGGCTTGCCAGCCGACACCCAGAACGCAAAGCACGCATCTGGGACATGTTGCTGGCAGCTACCTCAGTATCTTCAAAATTGACAGCACTGCTGTTGCGTGCTTCAAAGTTAAACCTTCTCTCCCGAAGGGTGTGCATCAGCTACCTCACCTCGCAGAGAGCGTTCATTGTCTCCAGTGGGATTACCACCAGCCTGCCCCTTGAAGCTTCGCCAGGATCAATCGATGAGACGTGCTGAGTGATTGTGATGGATTGTTTTGAATGCGATCTTGAGGTTCCGGTGCTGTCTGGCGTAGGGGAGCGGAGCTCAACTGTGCTTGCTTTTTGTTGTTTGGTCGAGCCCATCACCCGTTTGCCGCGTGCCGGAACCTTCACCTTCCACATCCGCTCGGGATGGTGTTCGTGCTTCCATGAAAGTGCAAGACAGAACCACAGGCAAGAATTCTCTGGGGCGGCGCAACTCGCAAGCTTCTGGCCAACCTAAGTTTAGCAAGTCTAGGTTCATGCGAGCTTTGTCCCGTGCCGCAACCCAAGTCCTGAAAGTGGTCGAAACAGTCCCAAAAGCAGGGCTGCGCAGCGCCCCAGACGAAGAGTGTATGGCACTCGACGTGAACGTCCGGCCCTACCAGAGGTCAATGGCGGGCTCCAGCAGTCACGCGTCCTGAGAAGCAGAACAACTTCACGCAGCCACAAAGCTCCCTTTCAGCTATGGTCCGGCTACATTCTCAATCTAAAGAGCTGTAAAAGCCTATCTATAAATCCTCCATGCAGCATCCATGAAAAGCACAATTGTAAAGAGACATGGCCAAAGCATCAGCCAACAACCTCAACCAACTTCTAAGCCCTTAACACACCCGTTAACAAGCCTCTGAAAACGCTCTTCCCACAACCTCTCGGTAAAGCAAACTTGCTATCTTCTAGGGTACCACCCGAATCAAAGGCCTTTTGCCCAAGAATTAAAGCCGAGGAAAGGTTCTTTGTGGGTGCCTCTTTTGCAGATCCAGGGTTGCCACGGACGTGGGGGCACGAACAACCGAGACGGCTTGTGCATGGTTTAGCGCATGGCTTGCATCAGTGAACAACTCAACGTTTTGGATAGACCTTGCTGGCTGCAGTTCTTCCCTTTTGCCCTACGAGCTGTCCATGGAATGAGGCAGCAGTACCCGCGGAAGCGCACCTTGCGCGGAAGTGCATATCGCCACGTGGGGTTGCATCCTTAGCACACGCCGTCTTCGCATAGCGTGACGTCAACACACAGCAAGAGCAAGAGTCTTGATTGACTTTGCAGGTGATACTTCGCCATGCAACGCCGCATGCTCCAGCAGCTGTTTCCAAAGTGCAAACGCCCGCTGCAAGCCCAACATCTGAAGGAGTCTGTCCGGAATTCTGCAATGTTGCGCTTAAACAAGGTTCAAGTCCTGGTCACGCCTCGAATGGTGCCACAGGTACCGTGTGGCACCTAGGTCCTAGGTCGCACCGCATACTTCTTTAGGAATTTTAGCGAGACTCAGAGGTCTGGCAAAGGCCTAGCAACTCCAGGAGGCATCCTGGAAGGCGCCGTGTGCCTAGCATGTCCACGATTGGCGTACTTCGGACGCATCAGATTCACAGATTCTGGCAGGCCTCCGAGCCGTTCCAACATTTCCAAGGACTGCTGTCTTGAATCATCTTCAATCGCCTCGCTCTGCTGGTGCTGTGTGTCAAGATCCTGTCACAAGGACAATTCTGCACCCGCACGCTGGCAAAGCCGTTGTAGGCAGAGCTACTTGGGCAGGTTGCAAGCGGAAGTTCCCCGCTAGCCCTGGCCTGTCAGGGCCAGCCAGTGTCCGTCGAGCCGCTTCCCACGGCGCTGTGAAGGCTCCGAGGCCGGCATCCAGTGCACACACTGAAGTCGCTGATGTCCACACTGCACTCACTCATCTGCACTCCCGCGTCTTTTATGCAATGGCATTTTTTTTGCAGTTCATCAAGCAGTTCCCTAGTCAGCAGATGTCAGCGGTCATGTGCATGCGTCACTTGGAACCATTCGGATTCTAAATAAGACGCTTGAAGGTTTTCGCGCGGTGCTAAACAAACAGCACGAGGCAAACTCGGGCTGTGCTCGGCTGTTTAAGTAGACACATTCCTGACGTTTTTACTTGTGGACAGCAACGAACTGCGAAACAGATAACGTTTCAGCAGAGGGGTTTTGCTTGCGTGGTTGTTTGATTTGTTTGCCCGTCGGTGCAGCCGGCTCACAGCACAGGTGTAGGCCAGGCTTGACTATTCAACCGCTGGACTATGCAACCGTTGCAACCCCTAATCTCGAAGCTCATGGCTTCCAAGTCAAGGCGACAAATGCAACATGTCAAGGCAGGGGACAGTCTGAAAATGCGAACGAGTCGTATAAGGTTCCGCGCGTATAGACAAACACACGTGCTGCACAATAGTGTTTTTTTAATGGTGCAAAGGCAGCACCTGCATGAGTGTGCGCATGCAGGTTTACCAGCTTGCACGCACACGTGCTCGCTTGCACCGCCCCCCCCCGCCCCCCCGCCCCCCTCCCCCCCCTCCCCCCACGCCCCCGCAGCCCCCCCGCGCATCTCCCCGCCCCCATAGCTGTGTTTTTGCATGAAGACCTGTGTTTGTTTGTTTCCAAGGTTGACCCTGTTGCTCGTTCCCATGTGTGTCTGGGCATACTGTTTCGAATCTTGACATTCAGACCGTTTAGACCAGTTGTTATGCCTTGCCGAGTTGGCTCGTTGCAGGTTGATGCAAGCACCTTGTGAAAGTTGGTATATGTTGGTATCGTTGGACTTGCTAGAGTTTTTCTGTAGGCTACTAGTCTGATCCACTGCTTCCTACTGGCCCGGTTTCGCATTATTCTTGGCCCCGTTGTCAAATGCTCTTATTTTGTTGACTTGGCGTCTGCACCTTTCGAGTTTTTCGTGGCAAGAGTGGCTTCAGAGAAGCGGCCATCGGCAACCAACTTTATCCATCCCTTTGCTCCATGACTCCATGACTGTGGCAGCAGAAGAACAACCTTGGCATGAAAGTTGCAGTTCCCAGCGTCACATGCATTTTCTGAATGAGTGGGGACAATCGTTATACTCGTTACTAGTGTAGAGCAGAACTTTGCTGTATCGGCACCTTTAAACGTTTCAGGTCTTCACCGACCTTGGTTTTACAAACATCCGGTAGAACGTGAACCGTTCGGTGATCTGCATGATTGGGCTTTACTGTGTCTGGGTGGGGTGGGGTGGGTCGGGTGCGAGGCTGGCGGAGGCAGTTGTTGTTTCTTCTCTCATCAAAAGCTCCACGCAAAGATGTAGGAAACAACGCCAAACCAAGGCCAAGCCGTGCCTCTTTGCAACTCAGCCACAACCAATGAGGGGTATTTTCTGAACAGTTTCGACTTTAACACATTGCGTTCGATGTGTGCTCGAAATCAGCAAGCGCGGTCAAATATGGTCAGTTTGCGACAGCGCCGTGGGCGCGATGTCGCCGCATTTTAACCCTAAGCTCGTAGCTGCAGCAAACCAGAAGCAAGCAAAAACAAATTTCGTGGACTGTTAGGCTTTGTAAAGTCCGGCAAGCTGTGCATTGTGTTGCCGCTTGCAACAAGTTCCAGAATGTCTGTAGACGATGAAGTAGCACGGGATGGCTTAGCCATGTTTGACATGTCAAAAAATGCTTTTGATTTGCTAAGGGCCAGCCCCGCGGTGCTTCCCCCGAAGCGGCCGGCCTCAGGCAAGTGGGTGCAATATGGTGCAACGGGGTCGAATAGTGGGAACAAACGATTGAACGTCACAGGTGTGGCCAAGGAGCTGCCCAGCGAGTGGTTGGCTTAGCTCTCGCCCCGCCGCTGGCGCATTGCCGTGTCAGATCTTTCCGAAGGCAGACTACTGCTGCTGGACAACTTCCGCCAAGAGGGTCTGGTCACAAGTACGTCGGCAGCTAGACATGGAAACCATGCAGTTGGCAGGACACACACGGAAGCGGACACAGTCGAGACCTCGATGCGCTTGAACCCAAAAGTGTTGAGACCTGTCTGTGCGGGCAAGGACCAGTTCTTCGCAGATGGTGAGAAGCAGGCCATCGGACTTGGGGCTTAGGGCTGAGGGCTGAGGGCCGAGGGCTGAGGTTTCCTGCAGCTTTGTGGGATCTCTCTTGACGAATATTCACCTGCATGGCTTGTTGATGGTTGCTGTCATGCCATGCCCCGCAAAGAATCCAACACTCATGATTACATGATTGGCCGTTTGTAAAACGGATGCATTGCAGTATTGCAGTGGGTGCATGCCCCAAGAGGCGACAGCAGGGAGTTGATGCCTGGCTCGAGGCTGTCTGATAAAAGAAGGTCAAACCGCCCAGGGCCCAAAAGCCCAAACATTTGTGCGCAGTTAGTTCCATGCACGGTGAGTGCTAGCCTAAGCCTGCGAAAGACAGCACTTCTTCAAACGGTCCAAATGGAACAAGAAGCCTAGCCGCTTGCTGGCCTTTCAGCCTCATGCATGAGAGGCTGTCTCATGAGACTTGATGTGATCCAAGCAGGTTTTGCGCATGTTTATCATGTTTGCACTAGTCATGACTAGCCCATCCTTGCCTGCAGTTGGCTAAGCAGATGTGGAGGATACCTGGTTCCTCGCTTTCAATTCAGCCCTGAACGAGACGGGGGCTGTGGAGGCACTTTTTGTATGAAATGTTGCTGTCCAACCATTTAAGAAATTCTGTCGAGCCTTTTCGCAGGCAACCTGCCAACAACTCCTTGCGAGATTGTCTGGGGCCCCGAAAGCAACTGTTGAAGAATCGCTCCAGAGAGCTTGCTGAGAGCTAATAGGAAAACAATGGAATACAACTGTGAGAGAAGTTGCTCTCAGGACTGACCCGTTCTCTTTGTTTGCTTTGGTGTCCAGGCATTCGGGACCATGTGTTCGTTGGGAGGAGATTCGTTTTTCCGCGCGATTCGTCTCAGTTGTGTTATGTTGTGTTGCTTATGTTGCAGCTCTTTTCCTGTTGTATTTCAGGAGCTCGTGAAGCTCAACCCAGAGGTCCAGCTCTTGCACGCTGCGTCCGAGGCCTCGACATCGCATCTGCAATGAGTGTTCCGCCTCAGCCTCTTTAGGGCAGCTGAAGTTGATCAGGAGGGCCAAGCTGATGGAAGCTGCCAAGGCTGAGCCGATGGAATCTTTGCAACCAATTGCTCTCTCCTCCTGTGCCCCGCCTCTCCGTACTGCAGTAAAAACTAGTGAAATGATCAGAATTTTGTACTCGAGTCACGAAGTTCGAATATGTCGAGGTTGGTGGCGAGCTCTTCTGGCAAGGCATAGCCTCTATGGCCCGGGCAACGCGACTTGGCTTCGTGCCAAAGTGGAGAGACACGAAGGAGCAAATCCAAGAGCAAGGTTTTGGTCTATTTTCGTCCCAGAGGCAATCGGCGCCCCGGAGCTGACCGAGCTGGTGACAGATGCTTTTCGTTTTCTGCGAAGCCCTGAGAGATTTTCTGAGATTGTTCTGCACGTGTGCTCGCTCACTGCCCATAGGCGAGATCGACATGCACCAGAGGCATAGTCACTTGTTGCAGCGATCATGTTGTAATGTGTTGATCATGTTGCAGGCGTTCTTGCGAAACCTTCGAACAGTACACTCCGGCTCGCACTGCTGCCTTGTGTTGACATCAACTACTCCCTCGAGATTCCGAGAACGTTTCCCTCGTCAGTACACGTCAGGAAGCGCCTGAAGGAGCTCTATGGCAGCTTTGAGTTTCATGCACGCGGCATGATGGGGAAGAGTTACAGGTGCACTTCTCTATCAGTTCTACGGCTTGATGATTTACTGTGAGATACTGTGAGCTTCAGTTGCCAGCCTACACGGGAAGAGACAAGCCTCTGGTGTGTAGTCTCGTCTTGTTCAATTCCCTGCCAGCGTTGCCCTGTTGCCACCGTTCAGCGCTTGGTTGAGATTTCATACCAAGTACCTCCTGCCCAACAGGTGTCGAAGCAGACTCACGCGCGAGGAACACATTTGCAGACAGGCTACTTGCCTTGTGATGGGTGAGTTTCTTGTCCTGGTTCAACTTTCGCGCTACAATGCCTAGCCAACAATTCTGAAGGGTCTGGTTGAAGAGCTGCCACCCATTTGGAAGGCACACTGGAGGTTAATCAGGCCATTCCAAGCATGCCTCTTCTGCATTTGCATGTGTATGAGGGTGTCCATCATAAGATTCCGACTGCTTTGAACATCTCGGGCCGGCTGTACGAGGAAGCTACACGCCCTTGGCTAGACATCTTGCAAGGCTTTGCCGAGGAAGTTGTTTAAAACAAATCCCAAAGAGGCCACCTAAATCAAATGCACTTGTGCCAACCTATTCTGGCAAAACGACATGTTGTCGCATCACCTCTGTGAGGGGTAAGCAGCAGCCATGAGAGAGCTTCCTCTGCGGACTACGTTGTTTTGTGCATGGGCTGTGACCACCACTGGTTGCCTGGAAGTTTCGAGCATGAAGATTCATCGAACATGGTATGAAGACCTCCCGGGCTGTGAGCCGTTAATCGTGCTGTGATAATTACGTTGAGGTATGCAAAGACAAAGTGTCCGCTCCCTCCGATCTGGTCCGGGCGGAGGCTGCGCCATTTGAGCGTCTGTACTAACATGCTTTGGCATCATTGTTCCTTCTTTTGAAACTTGTCAGACTCGAAGGTTGAGATGCTGAGAAGCCTCGAGCATCCCAGTGTGCCCCAGGCATGGGTCGCAAAATGTCGCTATTACGAGAAACACTGCCCAAGGCCGCGCATGCCGCGGATCCTCACTGGCTGCAAACCTTCCGCCCCAAATGAGCGCATGCATGCACATGAACCATTAGGATGGCTTTCGCTGCAGGGCCTTTCCAGGTGAATCAGAAGCCTGCTGCTACTGTCATCGCTATTCTTCAACATCCTGGTCTTACGGGTGGCAAAACAGCTCCCTTTTCCCGCAAGAGGCCTCCCAAAGGTGAGCATCATCGAAACCCGCGGCAACCACTGGTGTCGAATGGGGTCAATGATACTCTGTGGGGCGAGGCAGTGAAGAGTCGAACAACAGGTCCAGGTCAAATTTTTATGGAGGTTTATTGTGTTTTCGCTATTTTGGCCTCCTCTAGGCCCTTTGAACGAACAACTGATGCTCATGATGCCCACCTTTGGGCGTATCGAAAGGCTCATGCACACAACGAAGCTGGTGGACTCTGCGGGAACTAGGAGCCAAGAACAGCATATTGACCAACTTAAATTGAGTCCGGCACTGAAAGGCAGTGTTTTTAGTGTTCTGCAAAACTTGTTTGGGGTCAGGCAAGGATGTTCAAGTTTGGCTGAACAACGGCTACTTGTTACTAGTGTCAGAGTGGGGCTGTGAGTGATTGCGATCTGCGCCGCTGAAGTTGCAGCAGGTGATCGCTAGCTTTGAGGATTTTAACAACATCTACATCGTGTCAGCTCCCCAGCGGCTCACGCATAGCCTTGGTCAACGCAGCTTGATGCACTGCTCAACGTTGCAAATCCCAGGCATGGCTCATTGAAGCTATGTTCTAGCATGTTTCAAGGTTGATGTTGGTAAGGTTCCTTCAACACACATTGAAACATATTGAACCCAACACTTTGTGACCAGTCGTCCACAGGTTGGCAGTGGCTACGACAGATAACAAATTTCGGATCAACAGCGACATGAGCACGGCTTTTCGCCAGGGGTTTGCACGCATGGGACGGCGCGCTCTCCTGCTGACATTGGCGGTGGTTAGACTAGGTTGTTCAGCAGCGGTCGGCCTTCCTACCATCGACTACTTGAACCTGAATGCGGAGTCCGAGTTTCTTCTACAAGCGTTTGCGACCGAGGGAATTTTGCTGGTCCCTGGTGTGCCGGGCTATGCGGCTGCAAGAACCGCAGCTCTGGAATCACTGACAGCTTGTGTCGCCCGTGGCCAAGGAAGAGTCAAAGCATTAAGAAGGTTCCTCCAAGATGGCTCAGAGCGGCTGACGATTGCTGCCAAAACTCATGGCCATGCATTGCAGCCTCTGTTCATCGGATGTCCAGACTTCGAGCAAAAGGCAGACGTACTTAGGACCGCCATACATGTTGCTCTGACTGAGGTTCTTCGTGTGTGGGGACAAGCAGGGAGTCAGGAAGTGATCCTCCGACATGATGCTGGTCACCCATATGCAAGCCTAGCAGAAGCGGCCTCGAATGCAACGCATTTGGAGCATTTCCACGTCTATTCCAACAAAGATGATAAAGATGGCAGCGCTTCCACATCTCGTGCTAGCCTTGGCCTTCACACGGATGCCGGTCTGCTCCTTGCCTTCACCTCACCACTGTACTCACTCTCTGCTTCAGTCCATTCCGATCATGACGCAAGCGGACTATGGATTCAACGTGTGAACTCCTACGTGGAGCCTGTAGACCTTCCGACGAATGCAGTTGCCTTTGTTGTGGGCGAAGCCGCCACCTGGCTGCCGTGGGCGAGCCGCCCGCTGCCCCATGAGCTGCGCCTGCCCCGCATGTCTGAGCGAGCATGGTACGGTGTCATGACACGCCTGCCGGAAGACGCAGTGAAGGTCTCAGGCTTCGATCCCACGTTGCGGCATCAACTGACTTTTGGCCAATGGTGGGACAAGGCTGCCGATTCGCTAACATCAGAAGATGCATTTGGCTGTGGTCAGCTGCATGCAGCTGACCCCACACACCTGTGTCCAGAAGGAAAAGCTTATTGTTGGATGCAATGCATGACTCTACCACCAGCCTGCACGGCCAGTTCGGCCCACTGCGTGCACCCAGATGGTACTCCATGGGCGAATCACAGCGAGATGTGCCCAACATGTACACTAACTTGTCCTGCTTTTGAGGGCTGGGACTTCTGTGATGAGGCTGCTGCTTCTGATATGATCATGCAAGGATTCGTCAGCTTCTCGGCCGGCAACAAGATGAGGCCTTGTGTCATCCTATTCTTTCCGAGCTGGGTCCTCAACACTTGGTGGAAGTTTTGGCTTGGAGTAGGCGGTGTGCTCTTGCTGGGTGTCACTGTCGAATGGGTTTCCACTCTGCATGTGTCGCCCGATCGCAAACTGGGACGTTTATGGCAAACGCTTCTATACTGCACGAGGATGACACTTGCTTATCTGGTAATGCTAGCGGCCATGACCTTCTGCATTGAAATTTTCGCCGCTGCTATTGCAGGATTGGGTCTCGGACATGCTTGCTTCAGCTCACAGAAACAGCGATTTGGCGGATTGAGCGGACCTTCCCTTTGCTGCAGTCATGGAGAGCTTAGGCGCCGGCACTCGCAGGACATTCGCGTGACCCCTTGCCTGCAAGCCGATGATTGCATAGTCTTGCGTGTGGGGGGAATGACCTGCGGAAGTTGCGCTCAGACGGTGACCCATGCGCTCGAAGGCGTAGCTGGGGTTGTATCAGCCCGAGTCACTTTGGGCCCAGCTGCAGAGCCAGCAATCGGTACCGGTCTGGGTACAGCGGAAATCTTAGTGAACGCAGGTTTTCCTGGAGCAGATGCTGCTGTTGCTGCCGTTGAGCTGGTTGGGTTCGACGCGCAGCCTGTGCCAAAAGCGTGAGCAGTCCGCTGCCAGCATTCAACATGTCAGCTTTGGTACTGTACCTAGTCTATTTTCACCTGAAACTTCTGTGCTCTTTGCATGACCCGTCCGGGTTCTGCGGTGTGGCGAAAAAAGAATTGTCGAACGACAGGCATAGCAGGGCATAGTCTCAAAGTCTCTTTGCATGCATAGCAGTAGTACAGCTGTAGGCTGTAGCAGTGAAGCTTTTCTCTGCAAGATGCGGAGCGGCATAACCAGTGCTCAAGTGATCGTGCGCGGCGAGAGTTCTGCGAGCATCGCGCCAGGCTCGAGCCCGTAGAGAGCATCGAGTTGGTGAACATTTTGTGACGCTGCCGGGAGTTGGACACTCGCTGGAGGGCTGTGCAGTTGTGCCACGTTGTGCCACGTTGTGCCACGTTGTGCCACGTTGTGCCATGTTGTGCCACGTTGTGCCACGTTGTGCCACGTTGTGCCAGGGTGCATGTCGAAACCTTATCAACACTTGTAAAGCCAAAACGAGCGACTCTGATCAGAGATGTCAGGCAGCAGTGGCATCAAAGTGGACAAGGAATAAGTGTCGGCTGGCTAGCCATCGGCTTACAGCACGCTTTGTTGATTCAGCTTGTACGTGTGCCGCATCGTGCTGCTTTGTGGGGGAGTTGCATTGATTCCCAGCTACAAGTGGCAGGCCGAGATCGCCAGGCAGTTGTTGGAAGCGCTTAGGCAGGAGGAGGGCAAGAGCAGTATAGAGCAGTCCTGTCATGTCACTGATACACATTTTGCTCCCACGGCGAATGCAGAGCGGGTGCAGAACGACAGAAGGAAGCATGTGTCCTTTGCCGCTTTGCCTAGCTCTACTTCAAACCGTGCTCCATACATGCGGAGGCACTGCCATGAAATGCGACCCCGTAGCCGCGCACCAAGAGCTTCAAGTCGGCTCATCCAGTGCAGCCAAATTGGTACTCAAATGAGTGGCCATGCGGTTTCAGTTATTGGCGTTGCCTTGCCTCTTGTTTAAATTTTAAGGGCCTTGTCAGGCGAGGTGGGGGGTGGGAGGTGGGGGGGGAGGGGGGGATGGGGGGTGGAGGGGGGGGGGTGGGGTTGGGGGGAGGGTGGGTGGGGAGGTGGGGTGGGGGTGGGGGGGTGGCGGGGGAGGGCGGGGGAATACCAGCTCTTTCACCTCTTCAAACAACATGCTGCAAAAGGATGCGGAACAAGACACGCCGTCACAAGCGTTCATTGTTTTGGAGAACATGCTGACAACGCTGGTATGTACAGTGTTTTTTTTTGGCTTCTTTGCACAGCATACTGCACAAGGATGTTTGACGTTTCTGGAACAAGACATGCTGCCACGAGCCTCATACCGGTGGCGAGCATGCCCACAACACGGACATGTATAGCATTTTTGCTTCTGTGCACGGCGTTGCATTGACGCTTCTGGAACAGCACATTCTCTGGAGCTGTAAGTGGTTTTTCCACCATTCTGGAACTGTGGGTAGGTTGAGCTGCTGCGGAAATGTTTTGTTCCACAAGATCTGCTCTACCTGCGTGCCAAAGCAAGCATGCTTCATAGCTCCGTTGATCTCCGCCCCCGCTTCTTTGGCCTCTAGGGTTTCGGGTCTTAGGGTTCAGGGGGTTTAGGGCCCTCACAAGCCCTTTATGCCTGTTGCGAACATGGTGCAAACAGACTCCGACTCTTGTCGCGCATGCAATAATTTTCGGGATGCCCAAGAACCTTACAGATTTGTGGAGAAATTGTGCTAGCACTTAGGTTCGCCCCCGTTTAGTTTGCTCGTTCAGGTTGGACAGTAGCAAGCGGGAGTTGCAACAGCTCTGAAAGAACATTTTCGGTAAGGTGTGGTCCATGGAGATCTTCGTCTCACCAGTCTCCTCCTTTCTGCTGTAACGGATGCTCGGACGGCGCCGCAGCTCATCTTAGCAGACCTAAGTTGCTGTCTCAGCATCGGCGTTGGCGGGTGCCTCAAGCTGGGAGTACGCTGTGCTTGTTTCGGCTGAGGCCTTGCAGGGCTGCCGCTCCCGCCACCTAAACTTGCCAGGCCTGTGCAGCCGCATCAGCAGTCCACCGTGGGTCCAGGGCATCTGGGCACGTATCACGCAGGTGCCCGGCTCCCTCAGCGGCGCAAACCTTAGCTTGGTCACCTTTCTTATTGCTCGCAGCATGCCCATCTTCTAGAGAGCGTGAGCAAACGCATGTTTGATCTTTTTGGGCTCTGAGATAAGAAGGGCATTGTTCGTTGTCCAGGCATGTTTTGGGTTGCTGAAAACCTTGTGCATTCTGCAAAGAGCATCTTGAGAGGCAAACGCGGATACCAAGTACACTGCGTACACTGCCAGACTCCGGCAAATGCATTGTGTCTTTGTGTTTTTCAAGGACTCTGAGTTGCCTCTTGCAGACTACAGTAAGCGGGTCTGTACCCAGGCCGGGCAGAACACAAAACTGCTCAGTCCATGAACAACTCGATTCTTTTGGTTTTGCGGTTTCAGGAATGCTTTTTCGATAACTTCGTGGTTTGTGCCACAGCTCGCGCGGTTTGTGGTGCACGGCCCCCAATCCCCCAACCCCACCCCCACCTCATGCTGCGGCCGGCATCTTTGGTGCAAAAATCGTTGATATACGTTTTGGTGCAAAACAATAGTTTGGTGCAAAAACTGATGCTTGAAATGGGTGGTATCATTGGGTTGCCGATGCCAAAAACCTGATTTGCAGTCAAAAGTTGTGGTGTCACAAGTTGCTTTGATGTCTCAAGTGGTGATGCCACAAGTTGTTTTGGTATTAAAGGTGGTGGGGTCATTAGCTGTTTCGGTGTCAAAAGTTGTGGCGTAGCCCCTTGACGCACAAACACTTTTCCACACCACAGTTCTTGCCACCACAACTTTTGCCACCAAAGCAGCGTGTGACGCCACCACTTTTGACACCAAAGCAACAGCAAGCGCTTGCGTGTTCAGAATGCCGTGCATGTTTCGGATTTGCGATTTTGGATGGGGAGAGTCCGGTTTGCAACTCCCCTCCGAAGATCATAAAGTCTAAGGTTTCTGGGCTTTTTGCTTGCAGGGCTTGGGGCGGTTATTAGCAGGTTTGGGGTCCAAGTGTTTGGCAGAACAGTTTCGGGGACAGTTTAGTCGGATTGGAGGGACGTTGTGTTTAGGCTTGGATTTTGTCACTGGCAGCCACCGCAAAGATGTCCAACACCTCCTTTGGGCCTTGGCTAGTTCTACCCCGGCCCCGGCTCTTCGAAGTATATGTGTGCTGCATGCCTCTGACATCTGTGACTCGCAGCCTCCAGACTCTTCGTCTGTCTAGATAGTTCCACATAGACAATACCAAAACTATGTATCGAATGGTGCCTTCCCATGTTGTGCTTATGTGTTTTTAAATGTCTGTTACATTCGTGAACCACGCCAGCCCCACTTAAGATACCTCACGCACCCCATCACGGGTGCTGTCTTGGTCGGGGACTTGTGCAATTGTTGAGTCCCAGCAATGCAGCACTGCCTCACCATGGATCCATGCGGCGTCGTTGGAAAGTTGTGGGTGGAAGAAGTTCGGGTGGCCTCCTTGTACGCGAAGGTCCCAGCATGTTTTGAAGTTCAGTACTCAGCTTACCTGAAGTGCCTGGAATCGAACCTTCGGGCCTTGTGTAAATTCTACTCAAGCTGGTGTCGGTGCTTGTCTGCAGTTGTCTGCTATAACCACAAATGTTGACTGCGTGAGGCCTGCAAAACCCACACGGCTGCTGCACCCTGAGGTAAAGAGTTGGATTCCAAATCAATCACCGAGCGCTTGGCAACTGGTGCAGTCATCGAGGCATGTGGAATCAGCTCACCTTTTTTTGGGTCAATTTTTTCCCCTTTGTTGCTCAGAAGACTTTTACAAATGACCTACCTTGCTACGTATGCAAAGTGGAAAGAACTCATGACTAAGCATCTGCAGTTGAAGCCGAACGCGGCGCGCATCACAACTTGTTCAAAACTTGTTCGTGCACTATCGGGTAGAGGCTCGGCATTCTTGTGAGATGACTTGCTTCGGAGGAAGAGACAGCACTGGCAGTCGGGAGATGCGACCGGCTCCGGTACCGCAAGGTCTTGGGTCAAGGCCCAGCGACTGGCTGGATAAGCTTCGAAGCAAACGGAGCGCCACTGATCACCCCGGTCAAGCATGTTTCGTTTAAGGAAACATCTTGGCTGGAGAACACACGATACCAGGAGATTGCGCAAGTGCGCTTCGTTGTGGAAGCAGACTGCAGTGACGTTGGCGATGCTTTGGCCAAATCGCTTCAGGGCAGTCCGGGTGTCATTGGGCCGGATGCCTGCCCAGGCATTGGCAACCTGCACTGGAGAGACCCTTCGAAAAGACAGACGGGGCTCCCTTTACCAATCCCGGTCTCTGAGCAGTGGCGGCAAGTAGTGTGTGCCAGTACGGAGTTTTCTGAAGAATCGGTGTGGGAGGGTGGTGTTGACAACTCGACGGCATCCTTCTCTTTGGGGTTACGGCCACTTTTCCCCTCAGACGAACGCATTGAACGGCTTGAGGGCTGCCCGGGCTGCGCGGACTGTTCGTTTCGAGTGTGGGTTGTGAGCGATGCATCGAGACAGGGCCCACTTCGGGCCAGAGAAATGGTTCAGTCCACCATTACTTCGTCAGAGGAGCCTTGTGCAAAGCCGTCGCGACGATTTCATTTGCGAATCGACTGTGAACGAATTCTTGAAGCTACTGTGAAAGGACTGGGCTCAGAGATGGCTCGTGCATTGGAGAAGTACTTCGAGCCTGGTTGTGTTTTGTGCACTTGTGAAGTTCGGCCGCGGGCAGACGGTCGGACGGAGTTGATTCGCGGACTCTTTGGTGGCAGCATACTCATGGAGTCTGTACCTGGCTCAAAGCCTGCAGGCAGGCCCGATTTTTCAGAGGCAATCCCCTTGCTGGCTAGCCAGATCCTTTTCATGCTGGATATGGAGACCCAAGTTTGGCTGTCAACTCATGGCTTCCATTTAGTGGAAATCTGGCGTGGAATACGGAGACCTTTTCAATGGGCAGTGTTCAGCGCAATGAACGCAGCTGCCTCTCAAATCTTTGCTCTAGGGAGTGCCACTGATACTCTGACGGAGCAAAAGCTTGGGCTTCATCTGCCTTTGCAAGCCATCGATGAACTGCGGGAAATTCTGCCAGATTGCAAGAACCCCGTTGGCACCAAGCAGGGCCAGTTCACGGAAGGTTCTGTGGACATCTTGAGTTTTGTGCAACTTGTGAACCGTGTTTGCAAGAGAGCGGACATGAGCTCCGACATCTTCCGGGAGTTTACGGATTTGGGCTCCGGCCGAGGCCATGCGCTTCTTGCGGCGCACGCGTTTTTCCCATTTCGCAAATGTCGCGGATATGAAATTGATGAAGAAGCCTTTGCTGCTGCGGAAGCGTCGGCTTGTCAGTATGTTCGTTCTGGATTGGCTCTGCGAGCTCAGTCCACAGCACTTCCTCACAAGATGTTTCTTGAAGCAGACTTTGTCGACAAGCCAAACTGGACAGACTCTTCTGTCGTATTTGTGAATGGCGTGACTTGGCCCAGCAAGCTAATAGCTGACACAGCAAGGCTGGCACTTCGACTAAAGCCGGGTTCTGTGATACTTGTTGTAGCTCGGCGCTTCCCTGTTGACATGGAGATCCTGCAAGCGTTCGATGTACGTGGGGATGCATGTTTGCTGAGCTTCTCGCAGACTCGGCCTTGTCAGGTTTTTGTCTATCAGCGCAGATAATCCAGATAGATGATTTCGTTTCACTTACAGCAAATGAGCTCAAATGCCTGCAACCTCCTGTGGAGCATTCAGCACACCTTGAAGGTGAATTGGACGCCTCAGAAAGCTGCATCAGTGCTAGCGCGCCGGGTTGCAAGAGCGTACTCCGCTTGTGCGGTCCCCAGGCAGAGCATGCGGTCCCTGCTCCCGGTCGACTGGAGGCTCAGAAGTGCTTATCGCAGACAGTTTCCACCGTGCTGCCTTCTGCGTCGCGCCACTGCGCCACAGGACTGGATGCAAAGCCCTAGCACGTTGCTGGATGTGTGGTCCTGTGGGTGCTGAACTCGCTCAAAAAGCTGCGGCCAGTTCACAAGTCCCTGCTCGACAGCTTAGATTGCACAGATGACTGAGGTGCTTGCTGTTCATACTTCTTTCTGGTCGCCACCCCTTCAGCTGTGATCTTGGTGGGCGATTGTCTGCAACCCAGTCTGCGGCTTGCACGGTAGTGACGGCTACAACGTTAAGTGTTGTTTCCTCTCAACATTTCTAGGCAGTATCAACAACTTTCCCAGACCCCAGCACACATCAACGCATACCTTTGGAGAACGCACTCGAAGGCATCCTAGAAATTCCAACATGGGCAAAGTTGCAATGCAACCGGGAGTATTAGATGTATTAGCTTTTCTCTGCCCTTTGAAGTACTTACTTTTAGGGGTTGCGTGCCCATAGCCCGAAAACTTCCCGTTATGACACAATGACAAATAAGAAAGTCCAAAGACAGCAACTTGCCAGAGCTCCCGCCCCCAAAGCGAAGCAAAGAAAGCTCTATCCTAAACATACAGCCAGAAGTATGTTCTCAGGGTGCCCAGCGCTGTTCTGGGAGCCCGAAGCGGTGTGCCCCCAGAGCCTGACTGGCGGCTGCCTGGGTCTCAGCAGCGGGTCGGTGCAGGTTAGTGCTGTGAGTTCTCAGATCATCGAATGTGATGTTTCAGCAGCTGTCGGAGGTTGCCGTCTGCCTCCTCGACATCTCTCTGTGCGCAAATGCTGTCGTGGGACGTAAAGGCCGCAAGATGTCTTCTGCTCACATGACGACATGACGGATGCCCTATGCTCATAAGAGGCCCGCCCCTCTGCGGCCGAATGCCTACGGCATTCATGGCTTTCGGCAGAGGCCCGAGATTGCTTCCTGCTTTTGACCTTGCTCCGAAGAAACTGCGGCTTCTCAGGATTCCGACAGTACTGCCCTGCCAATGGAGGTTGTGTCTCAGTAGAGTGTGTTGTCAGCCACCCCAAAACCAATCCCCTGAAGTGGTGCCTTGCAGGCCCTCGGCAATCTGTTGAAGGCTCATCACAAATCCAAGCTGCAGGAGGTGGAAGTTGCGTGTTGCACTGCTGTTGCAGTTAGGGTCTGCAGCTCTCGCGAAGATCACAGCTGGTCTAGCGATTTCAGAGCAGATCGCCAGCCCCTTCTCGGCTGCTGGCTTCTCAGTGCTCACATACTTTGCCCATGGCAGCAGGCAGCACAGCATGGCTGCTTGCGAACGCAGTTAGGTTGGTGCCTCGTTGGCTGTGAAGCACACCTTCGCTGATTTGGCAGGCCACATCATCCCAACGAACGAATCGAACGTGAACCGAACATGAGTCGACATGATCCTCTGCTATGCAAAGTGCAGGTGATGCAGCGGCTGGAACAAGTTGCTCAAGCCAGGATGCTGTCGTGTTGGACCGGAGATTTGCCGAGTAACAAATTGTCTTCATCTTCAACCTGCGAGGAAGAGGCAGCAAGGGTTGCCACTGTCACAGCATCAGAAGCCAGTGATGCCCTGGCGAAGTTGGGGATGTCTGTTCGAGGCCTACATTAAAAGAAATGTCAGTCCCAACAATTGGCAGTCAACCAGTGTCCACCAGTCATTCCTCGCAATCTCAGGACAAGGGTATCGAGAAGGTCATCAAAGCCTTCTCTGATGATACAGGAACGTGTGACTTGGGCGCATGCGCGCGCTGCATGTTGTTTCGGATTGTTCGCGTGATTGATGAGAGGCTCAGTCGACCACCATCTTCTCATCTCCCACTGCACCGAGTTGGCCGAGGCGAATGGAACGCATGGTGCTCACTCGGGTCTCCTGCCCTGGCCCAGATCTAGCCCTGAAAATACCCCCCCAAGAATGAGTATCCCTGAAGTGTCAAAACCCAAGAATCCCCCTGGAGTGGACACCCCCAAAAAATCCCACCGGAAGTCTTGCAGAATATCCTTGCAATGCCGAACCCAAGATGACCTTTTCACTGCCCATCCAATGGCTTAGTTGTTTGATGGGTACGTCCGAAGCGAAGAACTGTAAATCTTGCAAATACTTGTAAGTTGCTGTATTAGATCCTTGTGCATCGTCGAATATTGAGTTCAGCTTTTTTCTCCCGATGTGAAAACCTGATTTCATGTTTCATGGGTGAAGAAAATTGCAGTGATGAACAGAGAATAGATACAGAGCTGAACGGAGGATGGGGCATCAACGCAGCGTGTTGAACATGTGGGAGCATGCGAGAACATCTGTTAGGATCTGCTGGATCACGCGCTCTGGCGCGTATTCACAGCGGCCTGGAGCTTACACAAGAGCACTCAATTGAGAATACTCAATCGAGAGTACTCTTCTGTTTTTCAAGCAATCTTGTGGCTTCTTGAGGCCGGCGAAGACCACAGGGGAGTTCTCGGTGCTGCAGAGCTGGAGAAGGCTTTAGCAGAAAGCGCTGGTGAAGGCACTGTCGCGTTTGCATGCTTTTTCCCGCTCTAGCCAGGAAGTAGCTTTGGAGTGGTCTTTCTGTCATGTTTCGAGGCGGCGGAGCTGACAGGGCAGGTGGTGGCGAACCAGACTCTCAGGGGATCCGATCTCAGTAGCTTGAAAGGATCAAGGTTTGCTGCAGGCCAAGAGCTTTGTGGACAAGTGAGGCCCTTCGGCTCCGAGATGAAAGCCAGTGACATTGTGCGACAGGTGGCATGCGGCCGGCAACAGGTGCCAACGAGAAACGATCAGAAATGTGTGTCACTTGACTTTTCGCAAGGTCACTTTCGAGGAACTTCGAGCAGCTGTCATACAGCGCCAATCACAGGCCGGTTCCGAGTTAGAGCAAAGGCATCAATCGAATTGCCTTGCCCTCCTTCCCCGGCTGCGATGAGGCAGATTCGCGAATGGAGTGAGGAGGTGATGCGGAAACAGCTTGAAGCAGGTAACGCTTGGGCGACTGCTTGCGTGCCATTGCCATCATAGATTTTCGAATTCATGGTGCACAGAGGCTGCTTTATAGTCTCTACTTGCAGCTCCCGTTGTCTGGGACATGTAGCGTTAAGCAACCACTTTCCAAAGAGCAGTGGGCTTATGTAAACTTAGACATGACCATATGCGCTTCTGCGCTTACACGGGCAAAGCCTTTGCGCATGCGACTTTCCTATCTCAGGCTGTGGTCACTTGGCAGGAGAGTTCTGTCAGTTCTGTGATCTCATTCTGTGATTGGCAAGTCGATGGCAAGTCGTATGACATGAGGGTGATATCTGCCCATGCTGAGAGCCATGTTGTACCTGCGTGGCAAAAGGTTCTGCAACAAGCGTAGCCTCACCTCAAGTGGCAAAATGAGAAGCTGCGCAGCATCTCTCTGCATTTTCTGCTCAAAGACCATTTAAACTGAGCTTACCGAGTTGCTGCGAAGTCCCCAGTCGCCTAGAGTCCGAGATGCCAGAGTTTGATTGCTTTGTTTTAGTATCAGGCACCAGGCCGCACAGTTTATAGTAGTGGCAGCATAGCAGCGACAGCCTTTTGGGAACGGCATGCCCCCGAAAGCTGTGCTGTCCTCAGAGCATTGCAAGGTCGAAACTAGGCCAACCTGGCTGCCAACCGGGCTGCGAACCTTGCCCAGGTGGACAAAGCCAAGCAAAAGGAACGAGAAGCTTGTCAGCTTCACAACCCTTGACGCAGATCCCTTGCCTGCAAACTAGTTCAGCGAAAGCAGCTGTGAATTGCAACCTAAGGAAAAGATTGCGATTGACAAGACATTCGGATTGAAAAACAAAAACAAGAGCAAGGTCGTCCAGAAGTGCTTCGCCGGCAGTTTCTCACATTCGTGATGCTGCAAGCTGCATAACAGTAGTACACGTGCTCACGTGGCCAATGATCAAGGAAGGTTTTGTTGGAGTGACAGTTGATCTCCCCTAAGTTCACGATTTTCCTTGCTGCTAGCTTGTGTAGGTGTTGTGTTCCGTGCTTATTGCTGGATCCAAACGTCATAGTACTGGGGTTGTTGGACATGGACGCACGAAAACGTGGAAACCTCGGTGTATTGCATGATATCACAACTGCCACCAGGCTTGCGCGTTCGCAAGTGCATGCGATGTTTTCGACACGCACGCGGTCCGATTTCCAACGTCCTTGCTTTTTGAGCGTGCTTTTGTTGTGAAAACACTGCGCGCAGGAGTATTTGATACACATGTCAAGTGCACCTTTCAAAGGTTTCCGTTTTGACAATTAACTGTTGCTGCAGGTCATCGGACGTACATGTTAGTTCAGAGGCACGGCCTCCGTGTTTTCGCAACAACAAGGAAGTCCCCCGGTGACGAGTTCGATGTCACGAGAAATGCACTGTTGACGGGATTGTGTAAACTGACGTGGCCTTCGTGTCTTCGCAAGAACAAAGATCAGGGGCTTGTGATGAGTTCGATCTCACGGAAAAAGAACCACTCTGGATGCAAAAAGGCTTAGTGTCCGCCAAAGCAAGCCCAAAGACGCATCCAACCCCTTGCCCCCCACCCCTCGGGGTCATAGTCTATGACCCAAAACGAGCAGCATAAGATGTGTCGGTTGGGGCTTATCTACGAATCACGACGACGAAAATGGCAACCGGACTTGGCACGCAGAAGCAGCAGAAGGATCAACGACAATCTACACATCACGAGCACCAACAAGAACACCATTCAAAGCCAGACACATGCACCCACACACGCACACATACACACATTTACAAGTCATGAGCACAACAAATGTCCCAAAGAGCAGAACTGCGGCATCACACTCTACGAATCACGAGCAAAACGTCGAGCCTAGGGGGTTGTTTCAGCAACTTTGTTTAAGGAGCCTGTTTCAGGAACTAGGCCGAAGCTGTACCAGGAACTGTGGAGGCTTGTACGGTTCCTGTTTCATGTACCCTCTCGTCTTGTTACATCTAGGTCGGTTCCAGAAACATGGTTCCTATTACGTGGCGCGCTGGTTCCTTTTACACCCGTTCTGTCTCTTCTCGACTCGTTCTTTGCGTCGGATTGTGGTCACCGATCTTGCAAACAGGATTGACTCAAGCAAGGTTGCACATCTGAGCGGTGCGGTGCCTTCTTTAGGGGTCTTGTGATATCTGCTTACCACTTGTGGTTGGAAAGTAAGGTACATCAAATCCATCGCAAACAATGCTTCAGGCAGGCTGTTGCAGCATTCTCGCCAGAAGGATCGCTATGCCTTTTTGCTTGTGGAGGTGCTCCAAAGGGGGGTAAAGAGCAAGCAGAGCGAGATGCCAAGGTCTTCTGTGTTCGCTCATTGCATGCCATTGCATGGAGTTGTTCTTGGCCGGCTGCACATGTAACAGTTGACGCAGGATGCCAAGCAGAAAGAGATGCAGAAAGCCGCGTTGATGAGACTTGGCATGGAGCCACAAGTTGTGTGTAGACAGCTTGAGTCAAACACCTCGCGAGAGTCAGTACAAAGCCACTGAACCTCTTGAAATGGTAGGGCCCGTTTACACATTACTTTGAATTTCAGACAGCTGCCAGGACATGCTTGGCAACCATTTCTCGACATGCCGACATGCAAAAGTCGGGAAAAAGAGTGCATCGTTCAGTGCTGCGCTGTGAGTGATGGCACCAAGTCTCAAGCGGCGGGCCGAGGAATTCCTTATTTAACCTCTCCACCGACAAGAAGGGAAGAGCGTCCGACATTCGAGATTCTAGCGCAGTGATTGCCCAGCCACTTTGTTTGTAAAGGGGGTGTGCCAGTCAACAAGGTTCGACCCTGTGGCCAAAAAGAAGGCCAAAGCTGCGGAGGAAGAGGCTGCAGAGAGTTCATTCATTTCATTCCTTGCATGGGCGACCCTGAATGATGGGTGATGGAGGATGATTTAACATTTCATGCGCCGGAGAGGTCTTTGATCAGTTTTCTTTTACGAGTGAGCCCATGTGTTTTTTGTTGTGCGAGCGGAAACGGATTGGCAGGTGTCCTCAGCCAAGTGTTCCAAGTGTCCAAGTGTCAAAGTGTCACAGTGCACCAAGTGTCCAAGTGCACCAACTGTCCCAAGCGTCTCAAGTGTTCCCAGTCTCCCAGGTGCTTCAAGTTTCCATCGCATTCTTGTGTTGGCAGTTGGCAGAGGCTGCCTCAAGCCTCAGCATCTTTTGATACTTGACTCTCCAAAGCTGGAGACTCATACCAAGTGCATGAGGGCCCAGAGCAAGTGTTCCAATGGACCAAGTGGCCCAGTTGTGCCGAGTGTCCAAGTCCTGACTTTTCGAAGTGTTCCAAGCATCACCCACGTGCCCCAAGTGCTCGAGGTGTCAAAGCGTACCAAGCGTCCAAGTGTCGCAGGTGTCCCAAGACTTTCAACTTTTGAAAGTTCCGAGTGTCAAAGTGTACCAAGTGTCCCAAGTGTAACAAATGTCCCGAGTGTCCCAAGTGTGTGTCACAAGTCCCGTTCGTACTGTCCCAAGTGTTACAGGTGTACCAAGCTCCCAACTCCCCCGAGTGTTCCCAGTGAAAGTGTACCAAGCGCCCCAAATGTACCAAATGTCCCAAGTCTCCCAAGTCCCCAATGTTCGAAGTGTCCCAAACGTCCCAAGTGTTCCTAGTATCCCAAGTGTCCCAAGTGTCCAAGTGGCCCAAGCGTAACAAACACGTCAGGCATCTCAATTGTTCCAGCTTCCAACTTGCCAGGTGGCATTTAGAATATGGCAGTTCGCAATGACTGTGCTTGCGAGCTCAGTTCTTCGCATCGAGAACTAAGGGGCCTCCATGAGTTTACCTTTTGTTTCCCGTCCACACCTGCAACGCTTCCGTTGGGACGGTGGTGCAGGCCATCGCGGCTGGAAAGAAGCTTTCGGATGAGATCAAGAAGGATGGAGCCGACGGCTGCAGCACGACATTAGTTTCGCTAATTCTTCATGTGAGGAAATTATCGAAGGCGTGGCCAACACAATTCGCTTGACGAATCCCAAGGCCCTTCAGGCTCATGCCACCCACCACAACAGATTGTATAATCATTCGAGGGCATCCGGATGTCTGAGATGGGCGGCCACGCCATCATCCAGGTGCGGTTCGATGGGTTTTGCGTTCATTTTGACTGCGCTTTGTTGTAAGCATGTTCGAGGCGTTGAAGAATAAGCATCAAGACACCTTCAAGACCATACAGCTCTTGCTCTTCATTAAGGCACATCTGGCATGCGTGTTCATTGGTGAGGTCATCATCTCGCTCGGACATCATTCGAACACGTGAGGCACATGACAAAGTCTTCTGGGTTGATGATCCCGAGAATGGCAACCCCATCATCCGATGTTTGGAGGCGCTTTTGCGCAATACCTGGTGACACAACGTGCTCGTCATGGGACTTGTGTGACTTGCCAGGATGTTGAAGCTGAAGTGGCCCCTGATGAGCGTCCGCTGGAGGACGGGTTCTCGCGGCGCTGACAGAAAGATTCGCATGCCACAAAGAATATGTCGCAGGAAATTATTGAAGAACGTCGGGCTGCATTGCCTCCAGGGGGAACTCCAGTCACCCCGGAGACGTTCAAGGCTACCTGAATGGCTGCCATGTGTGTGGGATCCGCGTTCATGTTTCAGCAAGGCCTGGAAAGAGAAAAGAGAGGCACTGTCCTTCTTCAACTTTCCCTGCATTCCTTCATCTCATGTCCGAGTTGCTACCCCAGTTCACTCAGAGCTAGGCAGAAAGGCTCGCAAAGGTGGAAGCAGAGCGTCAGGAAAATGCAAAGAAAGGCGGCGCCAAGGCAACTGAAATGAGTCATGACTGCAGGCAATGCGTCTATCAATCTTCAAAATGCCTTGGTGTCAGGGCCTTGTTGGCATGAGCGGCCGGGATCTGTTCACGTACGATGCATCCCTCTTCAAAGACGAAGAGGGCGCCGTGTCCGCCGACGAGTACGATGAGCGGGAGGAGGCTCAACACGCCCAACATCGGTTCCACAATCGGATGCCCCCCCTCAAATCAAACACTGCCGAGGATCCTGAGTATGACGACGATGACGACGGCAAGACGCATGGTGTGGTGTCCATCTTAGGCCTTCGAATGAAACAGCATTGACAGCGCAAGTTGGACCGACGTTGAAAGATTCCATTTTGTCCATCTGAGGCCCAGGATCTGCAGGACGGTGACGGTGAGGACGTGACAGAGCACAAGCTGACACGTTCCAGTACACGCCAGAAGCCAGAAGATGTCAGTGAGAAGACACAGAGAACACGAAGACGCAGAGACACAGAGACACAGAGACACAGAGACAAACAGTCAGACATTCAGACAATCGGACTCTTTGAGCTGGTGCTTTGCCACATTTGGGAGCCCGTTCTTTTGGTATCTGATCTTTTCCTGGTCTGAGAAAAGCTCAACGGATCCATCCGGCTCCAAAAGTCGGCTCCAAGGCGTTTCCGCGTGGCATCTAGCGAAGAAAGCAGGTGCGTCGACGTAGCGTCCTCTAGCACGACATTGATAGAGGGTGTCGATGTCGTGTCATTTTCTCACGGAAGTGTCCACGTGCCCGATCTTCCAAGTCGGGCGCAGCGTCAATCAAAAAACTAAGACCCTGGGGCTCAGTCCGAATGCTGTGACCGAGTCGGAAAAAGCCGGGGCTCAGTCCGAAGAAGGCCTCGCCCCAGTCGGGAAAACCAGCGGGTGCTTTCAGAAAGACAAACGCCTCAATGGAAGAACGTGCTGGGCAGGGCGCTTTTGTGAATCTGCGTTTTCTTTCCGAGATCTCCTAGGAATCAATTTGAAAACGGAAGGATTCTGTCAAGCCGCAGAAGAAAAGAAGTTTTCCCAATGGAATGAAGCCCCTTCCCTCTGGGGTTGCGGGTTGCCATTCCTGTCTCAAGCGTGAGGCCTGAAACCAGACCTGTTTTGAAGATCAGATTTGGGCTTAGCTTCCAATTTTTGGGGGTTGCATGCTTTCGGCTAGGGTCTCGGGATGTCTCGGATGTCACACTGTCGGGGTGTCTGCCTTCGAGCTTTGGCTGGTCATGGCTTTGCCTTGGCGCTCTCTGTTGCTCTCAGCTCTGTGTGCGTGTGCGCTGTTGTATAGCACCTGAGCCGCGACCATGGCCTCTACACGGCTTCTCCGATCCTAGACGTGTGCGATTGACCGTGATTGACCAGATGACTATTGTGTTCTTGCGATCCCGTTGCGGTGCGCTCGAAGGTTTCGAGCTTGTTGCGGTTTCCTACTGAGCCTCTTCGTTTTCCATGTGCACACGTTTTCCCACTGGAGTCTTGCTTTTCTGATTGGTTGTTGCTTGTCTTCGAGCATGAAGTTGGGACGAACCTTTGTTAGGTCATGGCGCATGTCTGCGGCTATTTTGAGTCTTCTGCATTTTCCGACTCGGCCTTCGCGGTTTCCGAATCAGCCCAGTGCGTTGTCGGATTGCGCCGGAAGCGTTTTCTGACTCGGCCCTTCCGTTTTCTGATTGCAGCTTTGCGTTTTACTGCCCGCGTTTTTCCGATTCAGCCCTCATGCCTTCCCAGTCTGCTTTGTTTGGGATGCGGCTGGCCACTGAGGTGGACCTCTTGTACGAGTAGCAGTAGTTCCGGATTTTGTTGATGTGGCAGTGGTTCTGAGGCAGCCCGCGGCTTGTCGTGGTAAGGATTGAAAGATATCCTGGAACATCATGTTTTCATATTTCCTCTGAGTCGGCCAGTTGCAGCTGTTGTCATCGTCAACTCCTCCTGCTCGAGCATGCACAGGATGACGAAGCCGAGCCGGATACTGGCGCTAGAGGGAGCAGCGAAGATGTTCAGGAGTTTGGAAGCTTGCCCATGCAGTTGTAACGTTATCACATTCACGTGTGAGGAGGTAGCGGGTGCCATCAATGAGAAGCTGTTCCTTGAGGACAACTTCGCATTTGCATTCGTTAAGTGTTTTGAAGTTTGCTATGCCAAACTTTTCATCTGAAGCCTCCATACAAAGAGACGTCTTCCGGACACGCCAAGAAACATGCCTGTCAAATGCACTAAAGTCACTAAAGCCACACGAATAGAATGCCGAAGCGAGATCCAAATCCAGCGTGTGCCTGGTCACCAGAGCCATCTTCACGCAAGGCCCGTGGAAGCGTTTACGGCAGCTGCCCAAAATTCCCGCCCTGGGGGTGGCTCGAACTACATGCTCCAGCTGCGTGTTGTGCGTGCCAAGACCCTGGATCCAAGGGCCATTAAGATAATGTTCCCATGTGGAATGTGCCACAGTAACGGCAACCAAAAGGGCGGCGGTAAGTCATTGCAACAAACAATGTGCCGGCAACGATGCCTGAACGCAGGAAGAGGATCTGCCAGACTTGGACGATTTAGATGAGGCAGATGAGGCAGATGAGGCAGATGAGGAGGCTGTGGAAGAAGGCAAAGGATGAACGGCATTTTTTGCACACGGGCCAGAACAGGTCCACAAGTGACGACGTGGCACAAAGCACCGCTTTGTTCCACAAGTCCTGGCTGCGCGTTTCACCGGTGTTGCTGTTTAAGTGAGGAGCCGGAGGACCTGGCGACCACTGTTCGGCTTTGACGAACTCGGCGCTTTCCGCAGCCTTGAGGTGTCTTGCGGACATGCGCAGGACAGTCAGATTGCCAGGTTCAGGAAACCACATGCTTATGGCATCATGAGGCCCGCCGTGTCTTTCCACAGCAACACTCAGAAATCGGCGTGGTAAGCCGAATCATGTACACAAATGCTGCTTGGGCCTCTACAGCCTCGACATCCCATTGACTGGCTTGGGAGCAACACAGTGCCAGGGAAAGTGGATGCTTTTGCCCTTGCAACTCTTCAGCCCCTTGTGAAGCCAGTGCTTGCTGAAGTTTTCTGACGGCTGTTGCTCCCGAAGCTTGTATGGCATTGTATCGTGTGTTTCCCGCCAACTGCCCAAGCTGCGAGCGAGCCATGGCCGCCATGGCCATGCCTCAACCCAGCCTCCATGCAGGCGAAGAGACTACAGGCGGGACATGCCGGGGACATGGTGGGACATGGACAGGACATGGATATGGCTCACAAGGCAAACACGACGCAAACAACAGCAACGGAGCAAAAGAACGTGCTTTCGAATGTTCCATGAGTTCCATACAGCAATATACAGCTCCATTCTTCCACGGCAGACTTCAGCCTTCTCCGAGTCCTGCCAAGACTGGCCAAGGTACGGAGAAAGCCAGCTCTCAACATCTGCATTGAGCCAGAATCCCAAACCCGCCAAGTTCATCCTCCAACCCTCACGCCAGGTGTCAGACATTGTCAGACACGAGATGCTTGTTTAGGTGGCTCAGTTTCCGAGTCTGCACTTACGTACGTCTATTTGTATGTGCTTGCTCCAGACCTCACGTGCTGCAACAATCAACGGTAGTGCCATGACTCAGCAGTTGTGCGTTTTTTGGTTCGGGAAGGGGCGCTTGGCGGCGGCTTTGGACCTCAAGCAGCTGCAGAAGGTGAGAACATGCCAGCGGCTTTTGCAGACCAAGCGTGAGAGTACGTAGGAACATGTAGGAATATTCAGGATGAGCTGGCAAATCTGTGTCTGAGCAGGTGCTTTTGGAAGCCCCTCGAGATGCGTGGACTGCAACGTCTCTGACGACTGTGGCTTGGCCGCAAAGGCCGAAACTCCGCGCCTGGAGACTCATAGCCAGCACATAGCCAGTGCGTTGCGAGAGCCCATTCAGCCGCCTGCCGGTTGAGCCAAGGCATGGCATCGCTTGGCACATCACTCTCAGGGTAAAAACAAATCTGGGCTTCGGGTGCTGGGTCCGCTCAAGGCTGCAGAGCAGCAGATCGGCTTTTCGTCTTTACCGCCCCGTGGAATGGCTTGATGCTTGGTTGAGATCAGTAGCGCCATGTAGCGCCTCTCCGTCTTCAAGTCAAGATCCAAGTCAATCAGCTACTGTGCTCGTTTTTCTTGTTTTGGACCTTATGATGACCTCAGAACCTTCAACAGGTCATGAGCCCAAACCCCCGGTGGGCTTGCTTGGGAGCAATGCAAAAAAAATCTGTCTGTGTGTGTGTGTGTGTGTGTGTGTTTGCCAAACTGCATTTGAGGGCATGGTCGCTTCTTACAGCGTGGGCCTGTGCCTACTGCATTCTTCTTGAAGTGTTCACCGAGGCACCGTGTGGGCATGGGGCAAGCTGGAGCACAGAGACATAGACTCCCTGAATGACATGGTCCAAGCCATCCCTGCAAAACTGGACGACTTCTCCACCAGAGATCCGTGGCTGCAGTGTCAGTCGTACGTCCATGTTCCGAAAATGTTTCCGACAAGATGTCTCACGAGATCGGCCGATACCCCGCTAACCACCCCCCAGTTTGAATCGTTGACCATTGTTTCACAAACATTTCACAGTCATATGAGTCATCTGTTATGCGAGGTGGGGTATGCTGTGGACGCCCTGAGCACGTGTCGCGACAAACCAGACAAGGGCCAACGCGTGGGACCTCTTCCGATTTCCTTCGTTTGCTCTTTCACACACACACACACGGAAAAAATGAACAAATGCGGCAATCTGCCAGCTGTAGTGACAACGAATTAGCAGTGTTATATCAAAGTCCTTCACAAACTCGTGTGGGCGAAAGAAACCTTTTCAGCCCTCCTCAGCAGTTCGTTCGCCAGTGGGCTTTATCGCCTTGCCAGAGCTAGAGGGTTTCACTGCGGGGTCTCGAAGCATGATGCCAACTCACGGGTGCTACGTCCACCTCAGCGTGAATGCAAGCAGAACTGCACACCGAAAAGCACGTGCAGACATGGGAGTGACAGCGGGCATGAGTGCTGATTGCGTAAACGTGAGTGATACTCTGGTTCTTGAACACATTAAGGCTGTATGGAGCATGTTTAGCGGGTTTCTTGGGTGGAGGGGAGGGGGGATGGATGGGGTAGGGGGGGTGGTGGGAGAAGGGGACGGGGGCAAGGAGGGAGGGGAGCGGGGAGGGGACGGGGGAGGGGAGGGGAGGGGAGGGGGGAGGGGCGGGTTCCTTCAAGCCAGAGAAGCTCAAACTAAGGGCCGGAGGGGGGGGTGCGGAGATCCCCAATTTTTTCCAAACATTTTCCCCACACAAAAGCCCCCCTTCAAAACCCTCAAGCCTCCATGAAGTCATGGAAGCCCCAAGCGACCATTCGACGAAGCTTCTGCAGACTCTAAGCCTCGAAACTTTTGGGCGAGGAATAGTCGTCGTGTTTTTTTTTGTTCTCTCTCTCTCTCTTTCCTTTCAGACGTTGAAGTTTTTGCTGGCTTTTGTTCGTTACTAACCCCAACCTTTGCCTTTTTGCACAGTCGGCAGTAATCAGGATGTGTCAAACACGCTCTATGGTTTTGGCCTGCTTCGACATAGACCCGTTCGTGTTGCCGTGATGCTGATTGACACCCTGCCGCCACGGATACAAGAATGCAGTACCCAAACATTGGCCAACACTGCTTACGCCTTGGTGCTCCTCAACCTGAAGCACCGACGCTTCTGGAAAGCACTTTCTGAATACGTGCCCGAGCATGTCCACCGTTTTAAGGCACAAGAATTGGCAATACTTCTGTATGCATGTGCTCTGACGCGGGCTCAGCATGATGCACTTCTGCAGACATCATGTGAGAACGCACAGCTGCGACTGCATGAGTTCAATCCTCAAAACATTTCGAACATGGTGTATGCGCTTGGCCTGCTTCGATTCGTGGAGAGATCGTTCTTGGAGATGGCGTATTCTGTGGCATCAGAGAATCTGGAAAAGTTCACGGCGCAAGGGTTGTCGAACATGACGTACTCGCTGCTGGGTGTTGTTAGCACGGATTTCGTTCGATATGCTTCGAGGAAATGGCAAGGGCATTCAGGCACACGTTCTTACATTGAATTGAGGCTTGGCCTCAGCTCGACTTTTTCGAAGAAGCTGTTTCTGCAGCGCTTGTGTCTCGACTTGCCCAAGCGTGCCTGCGAGTGTCTTGGCTTTTTGCGGGCGTGCGTTTTCATTAATTTGGATGTGCTGCGCGTTGTATTATGTTGTATAACTTTAACCTCGCTTCAAGGCTGTCCCCACAGCACCTCGGGAACATCGCGTTTGGCCTCAGCCGGTGTCGGGTGCGGCTCGTTCCTTTGCGCTCGCGTGTGCCGTCATTGCCGTCTCTCGTGGAAGCGCCAAAGGGCACCGCCAAGGGCACTGCAAGGGCAAGGCTTCTTGAGCTTCCGGTTGAGAGCTCAAAGTGATTGCAAATATGGCAACGGCTAGAGCTCATTGAGGATCGGCTTAACAGTGCTTGGCTGTTGAGACTCAGACAGCACTCTCTGTTGCTTATGTGCACCGTAGAACCGGCCGTGTAGTCTGCTGCTCGAACAATGTGGTCGGATCAGGAATAGCTTTATATGAATGTCTTTCATAAGGCGGCAACAGTCTCTAGAAGCACGAGTTTGCAGTTAGGACCTCTCCCGTGAGTCTCATGGCCGGTACTGCGGAGCGTGAACCCGACGCCGGGTATCAGTCAAACATCGCAAACGAGTCAAACGAGTCCATCCTCCTTGACCAACTCCGACTGCGAAACCAGCGTGCATGGATGGCAGTGACAAACAGTCAGGGAATGCTGATGCCAAAGTCTTTGCTAAAGCTTTGCATGAAGCAAGCGGTTCCGACTGAGAATCAGAATGCAGAGCATTTGCTGCGAGGGCTGCTGGAGGCCGAACTGAAGAGGAGTGACACCCCAGGTGAATGCAAGGAGGTTGACACGGAATCCTTGCGGAAAGAGTTTCTGCGGCTCTGTCAGCAGTTTGCGCCTGAGAAGGAATGCTTGGCTTACGAAGAATGGCTGCGCTGGGATGGGTTGGATGCAACCATAAGTGCAGAAGGTGCCCGAAGCCTTTGGCTTAGACTAGTTGGTCCTGGAAAATCCGCAAGTGAGGAGGACTTCTTGCGGCTTGCTCGTGTGATGCGGCAGGAGTGTGGTCTTGCCACAACCATTCAGTCCTTCCTTCGCGGGAATGCGGGCAGGCGCAGAGCCCGACATGAAGCACGGGAAGCCAGCGATAGCCTTGAGAATACGTGCCTGGAGAACGCTGCAAAACTGGCTCCCTACAATCCAACCCCAGACTGTGCCATAAAGCAGGCTTTGGATGCGCTTGGCGTGCAGAGTGGGGACACGCTGTATGACTTGGGATGTGGAGATGGACGAATGCTGCTGGCAGCAGCCAGACGAGGAGCGCGAGCGGTTGGAGTTGAATATGATTCCCGCTTTGCGCAAAAAGCATCGGAAGCGATCCGTGAAGCTGGCCTTGAAAGCTTGGCCGAAGTCATCTGTGGTGATGCGCTGAAGACGAACCTGTCAGACGCGACAAAGATCTTTGTATACCTGGTTCCTGATGGTCTACGCATGATGAGCGTAGCTTTGTCAGATGCAAGTCGACGAGGTGTGCCGATCGCTAGCTATCTTTTCGCTTTGCCGGGTTGGAGCCCGAGTGCAGTTCTTACGTCTGACACACGAAGCATCGAATGCAAGGTTTGGATGTACCAGGACTTCACAGCTTCTCCAATGGTCGAGAGCTCCAGGGACAAAACTGAGGAGGAAAAGCCTGCATTGTTCCTGCGCGGGCTTTACATAGCAAAGGTAGTCATGTCCCAGAAGGTATCCGAACATGATGGTTGCGAAACGTTCTGCGTTGCTGGCATAGCCTGCTTGGTAAAGACATCGTAGGTTCTTGCATTCTTTTTGACCTCGTACGACTGCTTTGCAGTGGGTGTCCGAGATGAACCGCGTCATGTGTCGCCTGCCTTGGTAGTCGCTGCCGCGCGCACGTGTTTGCTTTGCGGGCTCGCGGTGACCTTTGGCAAGGTTTTTCAATTCCGCACAAGTCATGGGTTGTGTTTTCGCGCAGTAGTTGATATTGATTGCTATGCCAGCAACATAGTGACCGTAGTCAGGAAGACTGAACGAAGTAGGATCTCAATTTGTGTTGTGACTTGCTTGTCATGCACTGTCACGAGAACTCCTTGAGGACAACTTGAGCCAACTACGGCGCTGTGAGCCTTGAAGGGGGGGGTGGCCTCCGTTTTGCGGCAGTTTGGGGCCGGCTAAGCACAGACGGCCACCCGAGGAGAAACGAGGATTGAAGACCAGATGAGGCTCATGCCCACCATTCATGAAAGGGCTCCGCGGTCCACTGCTTCTGACTGGTCTGCCCATGTGCCTTTGGCAGCGAGTCCCGTCGATACAAGTACTACCCACGTGAGATGGGCTCGGCTGCCACATGTGTCTGGTCTGCTCTGGTGAAGTCTCGCCTGGTTGAGTTTCACTGGCGCAAGTCGATGGCATGGTGCTTGACCAGATGTGTTTTGTTCAAGAACAGGAATAGGAAGGCCTCATATTGACTGCACTCCTTGGCCTCTTCTGCACAGAGTGCCTGAGCTGCAAGCAGGTCCACGGGAGCAGTGGGGAGCAGTCAAGCAGTGCCGCATTGTCCGACACTGCTTAGTCAAAGTGTCGAAGTATGAAGACTAGTACAGACAGTAAAACATAGTGTTGAATGTTTCACGGTAGTGGAGGCTATTTTCATGATTCGTCTGACCGAACTTGGCTCCTAAGTCTCTTGCAGCGGCTACATCTTTACCAGTTGGCTGGAGCTGCCAACCTTGTTTTCAGTTCATCGCTGTTGCACTTGTGGAACTCAGGCAACGGCAAAGTCTTTTGCTTGTCGAGAGCCTTGTCCTTGGTGAGCAGCTTTCATTCGCCATTTCAGCAGCGTTGTACAAATGTGAGCTGAGGGCTGTATTTCCTGCCGCTGCTTTGTCCTCGATTGACCCCAGCCAACACTCAGATCTCCCAACCGTGCTATTCCTACAGTCAGCTCGCCGGAAAGTTTTGCGCTGCTGCGCTTCCAACGAAAGCAAAATCACCCATCAACAAATAATAGTACTTAGTACCCAGCAGATCCCTGCAGTTTAAGTTTCTTGTGTAGTTTCGCAGAAGCTTGAGACTGTTGAGGCCAGCTGTGCCTGCATACGTGCGGACATGGGTTGCAATACCAGTCAGAGCCTGTGTTTGAACTTTCCGGCCTGCATGTTTGTCACTTTGGTTGACTCGACTCTGGCCTCAGGTAGCACTGCCGCTACTTCGTCTGCCGGGCCCTCATACCTAGACAATAGATCCTTCTGTGCACCAACCAGAAATTGCAATTAAGATGCTGTTGATTGTGTGTGAGTGGTGTTGTTCACGCGCATATAGAAATTCAGAGCAGATGCACATGCAAAACATTCACTGACTGCAGGCTAGTACAAAAGATGGGAAAAGCACTGGCAATGCGCAAGATAAGCAGCAGGTGGGAGCAAAACACGGATGGGTGGGAGGTGGGGGTTCTCTTGCAGCTGTGTGTTCATTCTGCCTGAAGGCAAAAGAAGAGAACAAACAGTATCAGGCCAGCAACCTGAAGCTTGCGAGTGCTTCTGTGCTCGCAAGTTCATTCATGCATGCTGCAGGCGACCATGTCCTTCCTGTCGCAAGTCCCTCTTTTCATGAGACTGCCAAAGGAATCCTGGGAAATTTTGTGAAGTCTCGACCACTGGGTAGTTTGAAGTCATGTCGCGATGAATCGTTTCAAGGACCAGCATCCAATCTTGGCAGCTGCCTGTGTAAACCAACCGCTCCGTGCTTACAGAAGTTCGGCCGGCTTCGAAGAGTCTAGTTTCAAGTTTCGTCCCAAGCCATGCTCTCTTTGTTTTTGAGGTTCAAGGCTGGACAAACCATCATTACACAGGCTGGACACTCTGCTGGAGTTTCTTGGATGTGAGTGCATGAACGTGTCATGTGGTTTCTGTTGAAGTTGCAGGGAGAAGTGGGCAGAGAGTTCTTCATCATTCAGTCTGGAGAGGCTGAGGCCTGCAAGTCAAGTCCAGACCCAGATTGCAAACCTTGGCGAGTCTTTTGTCATGTGCTGCTCGCAGGTCCTGGTTGGCGAAGCAGGCAATCAGAAGAAGGCCACCTTGCCAATAGTGGATGTTTTTTCGTGTTATGGTCTGGACGACACCACCACCACTTCTTCAGGGTTGGAAGCTTTGGCGCTTCAGGGAAGGCTTGGGGAAGAAAGGTGGTCACCCCTGCCCCCCCCCTCCTCTCCTTGTTCGTGGGTCCGGAGAAGTCAGGTATGCTAAAGTGCTCTGCATACGTGGCATATGGAGCATGCACTATGCGCACCAAGGTCGCGGCACTGAAGCAGGGCGACTATTTCGGAGAGAACGCATTGCTTCGCAACGAGCCGCGCTCTGCGACGATCAAGGTGGGGCAATGTCGGTTGTTTCGAGAGCAATCACCGAATATGAAGGGGTGTCGCACGAGCTGCATCTCAGCATGCAGCAACATGCTCGAACATGTCTGCAGGCGGTGACTGAAATCAGGACCCTGAAGATTACTCAGGAGAAGTTCCAGGCTCCACTGGCTTTGCTGGCTTTTCTTGTGTTTGCTTGTGTGTGTGACTGTGTCTTGCTGCGAAATGTGCCATGTGATGGGAAGAGAGGACCTCGGCCTCAACGAGAAGATACAGTTTGCCAACAGAAAAGCTGTTGGTGCTGGAGGCAAAAGGCAGCTTGTGGCTAGGCTCTCGGGCAAGGAGCACATATGACAGAAGCCATGGCTGAGAGGAGCCAATCTAACTTTACACATCTCTGCATGCTAGGTCCAAGCGCCATCAGAGAAGAATGCAGATGAGCGCCAGCTTATGGAGAAAGCGTGAGCATCTCATGGCGGTTTGTAACGAAGCCATCAAGCACCTGAGCTGATGTCTCCGAGGCTCAAGAAGAATGAGAACATCCAGACAATGGTGAAGTTAGATGAGTTTACATCTCAGCTGGCAAATGTGATTCTGGCATGTTCAACATTTTCAAGAGTCGCATCGACCCAGGATTCGCGTGAAGCAGATCATTGACATTGCATGGAAGGAGCAAATAGCTCAGCGATGCGGAATTATCTCTTCTCTTATTGCTTCCTCTTGAAGGCTCTTTCATCGCTCCCTCTGCTTTTCAGTTCGGACATGCAGTATGACAGAAATGTGCAGCAGTGTGTTGGAGTATGAGAACTTCTTGCAGCCTTTCGCTAACATGCTTGGCGGGTGCGGGTGTCTGCGGGTGGTTGCGGGTCCGTGCGGGTGGGGGTGAGCGAGCATGCGAGTGGGTGAGCGGGCCAGCGGGCGTGCGGGCGCGCCGGCGTGCGGGCGTGCATGCGGGCATGCGTGTGTGCCTCTGTGTGTGTGTGTGTGTGTGTTTGTGTGTGGCATCTCCCCGGTTCTCTTCTCCAGAACTCCTGCGGTTCTCCGGAGGTCCGCCGTCTGAGCGATCGTCGACGCTGAAATATTTCCGTAAACTTAGACCCCACTACCCACGGATCCCCTAATGGTAAAATGTCCTCGAGCTTAGCCAAATCCCAGTGTTTCGCAACCTATCTCGAGAGTCAAGTTAGCGCAAGAAAGTGGCAGACGAAAGGAGAGAGAGTTTGGTCTTGCGCCTCAGAAGCACACCACCCTACTTCAAAAAGGGGGGGAGCCTACAAAACACTCACCACTCTGGAATATCAGTAAAATCATCGGAACGTGGAGGAGATCATAATTACGGGCGGACGCTTTCAACACATCGATCCTTACACAGTGCATGTTTTTGCCGCCCGCCCAGCCCAAAGTAGGCTCCTTGTGTTGCGACTCTTCACAAGCTGTCTGCACATAGCACCCCATCAACCTGTACAAAACCACGATGTTGGTTGCAGTGGGAGGAAGGGAAGGAAGGGAAGGGAAGGAGGACACAACCAATTCCCCTTCCTGTTGCTGTCTCACATCGAGCAGACCTGGACTTTCGGGCACGTGTGCGCGGTGGGAGGGAGACCTCATGATTTGAAGAAGAAGAACGTTGACCATGTCCCCAGATGATGATGATGATTATTATTAATATTTTATTATTATTGTATTTGATTTTATATTTGATTTTTTATGTGCTTGTCCTTGGGTGTTTGTCCTTGTTTGTTTGTCCTTGTTGGTTTGTTGGTTTGTTGGTTTGTTGGTTTGTTGGTTTGTTGGTTTGTTGGTTTGTTGGTTTGTTGGTTTGTTGGTTTGTTGGTTTGTTGGTTTGTTTGTTTGTTTGTTTGTTTGTTTGTTTGTTTGTTTGTTTTTGCTCGGAAGTGGAGGTCTGATTTTCACATCGCTCCTCCGCTCAATGAAGCTTTTTATGCTCGTAGTTCACCTCTGTTGTGAAATGGTCACGCGAATGCTGGGATATGCTAACTGTAGCACAGACTACGCAAAGCGTCAAAGTCAAAATGCTTGTTTGTTTGTGTGGCGTGTGTGTTGCATGTCACGTGTGGGCGCGCGCGCGCGCGGGTGTGTGTGCGCGTGTGTGTGTGTGTGTGTGTGTGTGTGTGTGTGTGTGTGTGTGTGTGTGTGTGTGTGTGTGTGTGTGTGTGTGTGTGTGTGTGTGTGTGTGTGGGTGTGTGTGAGTGTGTGTGTGTGAGTGTGTGTGTGTGTGCGGTGTGTGTCTGTGTGTGTCTGTGTGTGTGTCCGTGTGTGTCGGTGTGTGTGTCTGTGTGTGTCGGTGTGTGTCTGTGTGTGTCTCTGTGTGCGTGTGTGTGTGTGTGTGTGTGTCTGTGTGCGTTATGTGTGTGTGTGTGTGCGCGCGTTGTGATGGGTTTTTTCGCCGCGCACCACCGACCGAGGCATGTGCCTGGTGGTAAAGAAATCATCTCCGAAGGCACATGCATGCATTCCGAGTTTTCATGATGTCTGACCGGAGAGATGGGTTTTCCCTGCGGTTTTCCAGGTGATCTCATCGCTGATTACTTTTATGTGCCTGGCTCAACGTGATCCGCAGTTTCTGTGCTATCAGGCGTTTGTTGCATGTTTAACCCTGCACTGAGATCTGCCAAACGGGGACATTTGAGATCTTTGTTGCCGACACCAAAAAGGGTGGGGAAGGGTGCCGGCCCCATAACAGACTACTGTGTCCTGTGTTCGGAGCCTGCGTCCAGAGGGTGAGATTGCACTTGCTCCATCTGACAACTTTCGGGTTCATGGTGACTCGAAGAACCTCGCTTAAGTTTTAGCTACCGCAAGTTCAAGTCTGCGTTCAGGAAGCGCAAGTTGGTGCAGACAGTAACAGCTGGTGGCAGCTTTGGCGTCTCTTGTCTGCAGCAGTGTCAGTGAAGCCAGTGCTGGCCTTGTATTGATGCCCTGTGTGAAGGAACTAGCGCTGCTCTACCTGGTACCGCGGGCAGCCACGGTCATTGCGAAGGTTGGTGCTGTTTGTATGACTATTCGCAGACTGGTCTCCGTCGTTGCAGCAGCCAGGAAGATTCCTCGGTTTGGGTCATCGACCGTAAGAACTTCAAAGACATCCTGATGAAGGCGGGCCGCATGTGCTTAGCTGGCAAGGTCGTCTTTTCCAATCAGACCGGCCTCTGTGCTTGTCGTGAGACACTCGTACACCTTGATGTGATGGCGTTCGCGATGTGATGAGTTATTGCTTGACGGAGTTTTCACTCTTCGCCCATTCGCTTCTAAACTGTTCTTTCGCCTGAAGCCGAGTAGTAGTGCATGTCGGAGCACAATCATGCCGCGACGACGGTTGGTGGACTCTTCTCATGCGCCGACGTCGTCGACATTCAAGCTCATGTTCACGTACAATTGCTGCTCTTGCGTGTTTGAGTTGCTGATCTCCAGGGTCGGGTAGCTTTTGTCAACAGCCAGCAAGCAAGAAATGAGGTTTCTGACGAGAAGATTCAGGAGTACGTGAAGTATTTGAGCAGGGACCCTCCCCCAGCCTGCGTGTGAGTAAGCGACGCTCATTCCAAGACGAAGGCATGATATGATCGCTTGAAGGTAGAAATCTTGAGCAGTTTGCTAGCTGCGGAGAAGCAGCAAGTGGTCGGAGCCCAACTGCCACACAGATTCACGTGTCACTGAGAATTGCAAGAATGCCATAAGCTGCTTCGAAACTGCGCCCGTATCGCTCCCTTCATGATCGTGATGTTTGAAGGCCAAAGCGCTCATGGAAGTCCATTTTGCGAAGAACGAGGTTTGCCTCGTCGAGGAATGCAACGTGCTTTGGCTGTTGCATGGTAAGTCTCGGAAGGTGATCATTCAACAAGGTGATCCGGGTACAACTTTTTACATCCTCTTTGAAGGAGAGGCCGGCATCTTGGTGCCATGCACGTTGATGTGTTTCCTTAATGACTGCCTGAGAACTCTGATGCAAAGGTTGCAGTCTCTATAGATGGTGACGAGAAGGTTCGCCTTCAGGCTGGATGAATACGTTCTGGAACCGGTCCCTTTAACCGGCGTCCGCCGTTCAATTGAAAATGCTAGAACATGCTACAACTAGCTCCAGATCTTGCTGGTGCTGGCTGGTAACCGGCAAGTACTTTGTGCTTGTAGTTGCTGTGACAGGCCAGTGAAGACAGGGGGACGGCTCAGTATTTTGGCCGGGGGCTCAGCATGCAAACGAACACGCAAGACATGATTTCGAGTGTCGATGAAGATCGGTGTGCTGCAGCTCTGCGCCAGTTTTGATGAAGCAAGCGGAACACTGAGTCACAGAGGAAACATCCTACGACAAGAACTAAGTCCGTCTGAGTGCCGGTGTCAGTGTGGAACAAATGAATGCCAGAGCTTGGGGTGAAATTAAACTTTGCAAAAAGGTAAAGATGTGAGACTCAGATGATGAAACGGCTTTTGACCGACCCGCTGCCTCCCAACAGCAGCTTGGAGCTGGCAGCAATCGTGCCAATGCACGAGACTGTACGAGTTGTGAGCATGTACGCTAGTGACATATCCCGAAAGCTACTGAGACATGAAGGCGATTCAAGCGAAGAAGGCATCGAATGAGGCTACAGTAAAGAAACCATCGAGTGTGAGTGTAAATGTCCAGACCGCGTTGCGAGATTTGTGAGGGGAGTTTGGCGCTGCGTGCCAAATCCAACCCATGCCCGTACAAAGGTGGATCAAACCAGCCAAACCAGCTTTAAACCAGCCCACTGCGCCGAATCTGTTGCACAAAGGGTTGCACATACAGTAGGTCCCAGTAGGTGTTCCCAACAGTGAGCAAAGGAACATCCAACCCAATGGTTGAACAAGCCCAAACAGGGATAACCTGTAGCCTACGGGCAGCTTTACAAAGCCAAAAGACGGTTGAGAACCATGTGTGCATTTGTGTGCATTTGTGTGCATTTGCCCTTGCGTTTCGGATCCTTGGAGGCATGCACGGGGCTGTTGTTGAACTCTGGAGGGTTGTCTAGTGTGCTCTGTCAACTGCCCTATCAGCCTCCTTCCTCGGACCAAGGGCTCTGTGATTCTTTGGAAGCAGCCGCAGGAAGACATGCGACAAGTACTGACATAACATCAAAGTATCCAGCACGGACAGCCACGGCCTCCAAAAGTCGTGTGCCGGCATTGAGACGCATTTCACGCGGGCTGCCGCCAACGGTTGTCGGAATGGCCTTCCATGCACAAACCCGAGCCAGGAAAGAACAGAAGTCAGCAGAAATGCGGCTTCACGAGTTAGGAAAGAACAGGAGAGGGAAAGAAGTGCGGCTTGGAAGTTTTTCTCAGATGTTGCCGAGGACAGCTTTCCGAGCAGCGTTTCGAAGTGAAAACTTTAGGATTAAGCAGTGTGGGGTTCAGCACCATGGAGCGTGTGGCTTTACTGAAGTGCAACATCCCGGGACTTTTGGTTCGAATTTCGGTTGCCAAGGTGAGCGTGCTTTGCTGCACAATGAGCCGAGAGCAGCGACAGTAAGGGTAGTGTCCAAGGACGCCAAGGCAGGATGTACGTTTGCGCTGTTAGCTTGGCTGAGGTGTTTGAGCAAAGGCATTTGCATGCTCGTCTGCTTGTGCTTGTGTGTGTGTGTGTGTGTGTTTGTCTTTTGTCTTTCTGTTTCAGTTTGCGTTTGTGTGTGTGGACACAGCTGTACGTGGTGATATCTATCTGAATCTATCTGACAACGAACCATTTTCAAAGACGCCTGGCTACCACCAATGAAGCTCCACACAGAAAGACCAGGATGTCCAACCTGCAGTTGTTCAGGAATCAGTCACAGTCCCATGGACCAATGTGCTCGAAGTTCGTGTAATTGGCACGTCCTCCTTCTCTTCTCTTCTCTTCTCTTCTCTTTCTCTTTCTCTTTCTCTTCCGGTTTTTTCATTTGTTCGGTCAGTTGCTTATCGAATCAGGCCCCGCCAAGCCAAAGGGTGTGCCTGCCCGGGTTTACCCTGCATGGGGCCAGATGTGAGGGGCATGTGCCCATGCCCTCCATAGCGGATCAGTGGAGCAAAGATGTGCAGACGCCAATCTTCGGGATCATCTGCAGTGGGATGACATGTGCCCACAGTGGCTTCATTGGGATCATCGGTCAGCTGTGCGGTCAAGGGCCGCGGTAAAGGGCCGCGGGCAAGGGCCGCGGGCCAGGGTTGATCACTTACGGAAAGGGCATGTGCTTTCGTAGACATTGACGGTGCATGTTGCATGCTGTGAACAGGGGCATGCCACAGTAAGAACGAGGGTGTGCGCGAGGGGTGTGTTTGTATGCTTGCGTTGGTGTTTCTTTCTTTTAGCTGTCACGTAGAGGTGTAAATCAGAATGCTTTGCAGAACTTGAAGATCTTCACAGGCATTGGCCCTGGACAAGGAAGCCTTCGACTTGCTGCTGGGACCCTTGGAGGCCTGCCTCTTGTCGAGTGTCCTGCAGTCTTTTGCTGTTAGCTGTCACAGGAGATTCTGGCTCGAAAAGACCAGGGAAATCAACCATCAAAGGCGTGCCGTTCTCGTGCTCGACACAGGCTGTTGTCTGTTGGGTGATATGGGCTGCAGAACGCCGGCCTGGCAGGGCGCCATCGCACCTCCTGCAGGAGGAGCAGGTGGTGGCCGGGATCCAAACAGGCCAAGAGGGGAGTTTTGTGAGGTTGTACGGGTGTTATGACCGTATTGGCGGCGCATGGAGCATCTTTGTAGCATCTTCGTAGCATGTCTGGAGCATGTTGCGGTGCGTGAAGGCCAAAGATCCTGATGACCGATCTCCAGAAGGTTGGCCTCCTTGGGGCTGGCGGCTTTGGTGCAGTGCCTTGGATGCGTCATTCAGTGCTTTGCCCTCCATCTGAACTGCAAGTGAACTGTATCCCTCTCATTGACCGTTGGCTTCTTTCATTCTTTCGGTGTTGAAGGTAGAGCTGTGGGAGCACAAGACAACCGGAGAGACCTATGCCATGAAGTGCAACCGCCCCGGGAAAAGGCTTCAGATCCGGTCTTACGCAACGCGTGCGGCAAGACTTTCATGTGGAATCTGAGGCATCAGCAAGGGGTTCATCGTGAAGACAGGAATGCAGGACACTCTCAGGGTCTTTTTCTGTCTCAGTTCCACGTGCCCAGCAGTTTGTGCACAAAAGGTTTATAGAAAAAAAGCGGATAGAAGGGTTGGGCGACACAATAAAACCCAAAGAAGATCTAAGTGCAAGACGGCGGCGACGACACGATTCATAGGCCCAAAGCCGACAACGATCGACAACGGTTTGCACTTCACATGCCGCATGCGCAAGCCTGCGGGTCCAGAAAAGGGCAGGTGAGATTCGACCAATTGACAGCATGCGCACGGGACATAAGCAGGAGCGGGAGCGGGACTTCTCGGCATTGCGGCGAGACAGCACGATCGGAGCACGATCCGAGGCCAAACGGGATGGCAGTTCTGCACTTCGCAGGGAGTATGCCTGAGTATGCTCACAGGACCCAGGCGAGAGCCAACACCGCAGCATGCAAATCCCAATCGAACTGACGCACGAAGCGAAGCCGTCCAAGCGTCCGAGAGGCAGGAAAGTACACCCCTGCCACCTGCCAGGGGCTTGAGGCGTGAAAGAGTGCTGGGGACCGACGGGAGCGCTTGTCGATGCAACCACGGCACGCGTACGCGACTTTGGCCAAAGGGAGTTTGGTCACGTCGGGTGGCACCAAACCATGTAATTTATGTCACTATGAGAACCACGAGCCCAGAAACCTGTAGCAAGCCGGTGCATAGACTTGATCACGAGTTTGGCCGAAAGCGAGCGCGGCACTTGTTCCAGAGTTGGGGTGCTTCGTGTGCTTCTGCACACTGGATCCCAGAGTTTGAACACGCTGTTTGGATCGAAACTCACAGGTCGTCCTTCTCAACGTGCATCATGTCGCAGGACAGTGTAATCACTGAGAAAAACATCCTCTTCATGACGAACTCTGACTTCATCATCCGTCTTTACGAGACGTGAGGTGCTCAATGTGCTCAATCAGCTCCAGTGGCTCCAGACAGGGCGCATGTGACATCTTGATCTCTCATATCTCCGACGCCATCATCATCATCATCGCTGTCCTGAGGTATAATTCAAAGCAGTCCATTTATTTCTTGATGGAGCTGGGAGCTTGGAGGATTGCTTTCACGTACTTTCGCATGGCCCGTGACACGCGGTGAGGCCTGCCTTGGGAGGAGAGTTGTACTCAATGTACCAGCGGAAGGCCGTTTTCCCAACCTACTTGTAGATTTAACTTGTAGGTTATGATTTTGTCAGTGGCAGTTGTGATGGACAGGGCTTCTACGGCAGTGAGAAGCATGCCAGATACTACTCTGCCGGCGTCGTGTCAGCCTTACTGTTGGCTTGGCTGCAGCTCCATAGCTTGGACGCGCTCTGGGAGTCTGTGGGACGGTGGTATCCAGTGCCTATCTGAGGTATGCGCCTTCGAACATCTGCACGAGAGACATATTATCTACAGGCCGCCAAAAGCCCTATGGCAAAAGCATCCAAAAGCCCCATGTCAAAAGCCATGTACCAAAGGCCCGGCTGCAGCACACGCAAGTGAACACTGAAGAACTCTGCCCAGGGACCTGAAACCGGAGAACCTGCTTCTCAATGAGAAGGGCCATCTCAAGGCGCTTTCTCTTTCCAAAGAAGAAGTACAGAGACCCTGATAGGACAAATCTTGGCACCAAATGTCGTGACAATTTTGATTTAAGTGGCTTACGATCTGTCGGAGAAGGTCACGGACATGGGCTTGGCGAAATTCGTCATCGGCAAGGCGGGTGGGGTCCTGCCTTGTTGCGTGCGGTACATGCTGCATGGATGTGCTTAGACCTACACGACCTGTGGCACGCCGGACTACTTCGCGCCAGAAGTCATTGCCTCGTACGCGGCCTAGGGCGTGCGCTTTCTGTCATACAGGCACCCATATAGTAGCCCTTAGCAGGAACTCCCGCAGATCAGATGTTGCCAGAGGTTTCGCGACACAGAGGTTCTGGGCTGGGCATGATTTTCATTCTGATGGTCGTGTTTCAAAGTAGACTGGGCTAGTGAACCATAAGCAAGTTCCCCCGCTTGTTTCTCTTCCATGCTGTTGGCTTTCGTCGCCTGCACCATCAATTCAGCCCAACCAGTTTTCTTCAATTGTAAATGCTTGTGCCCCTCGGCAGGGGTGGGAGCTGCCAAGAAGCTGAGCCAAGAAGCCGAGAAGGCAGCAACGAGAGGTTCTCCCACCAACACGACCTCGGGCTGTGGCCACAAGCCAAACAGAAGCGAACGATGCAGCTGCGCAAATGGCCTCCGGTCATCCGGAGGGGGTGTTCCAGGAGGTGCAGGAGGGTCCCAAGCCGCAAGAAATGAAGGTCCAGGTCATGTCCTAGCCGAGACCAGATCTTCGTTTGCTTGTTCCAGATGCCGGTCGGCTGGAGGGAACGCCCGTTCTCCCCATGGATTATGCAGAGATTATGAGTTTTGAATTCAGAGGATTAAACAACAACGACTGCACGTTGTGCACGTTGGGCTTATTTCAGTGATGCTGCCAGAAGGCTGGCAAAGACGTGCTCTGGACAACTGAGGACTGGACACACGCATGCTGTCGACTGGTGGATGCTTGGGGTGCTGGTCTTCGAGTTCATGCGCGTCACTCAGACACTTCTGGGATCAGCTGGGTGTCCGGCCTTCGATCCTGACCTGGCTTATGGGGAGGACTGGATCGGCTCCTTTTGAAGCGCCCAGCCCTCGTTATCAGAGCTTTCCGGGCCTTTGGCTACGGCGAATAGCTTCTTTTCCCTCTGCAAGGCCATACCCGATGCAGATCTATGCAAAAGTGCTGCCTCACACTGAGAACTCTCCAGGCCTTCTAGTCGTATGCGGTGCTGAAGATGAGCACATGGCATCTAAGGAAGGGTATTAATTCTGTGAAGTTCCCTCCGCAACTCTCACCCCAGTGTGTGGATCTCATCAAGGCCGATGTGGCATATGTCAGATTCTATAAGTCCTAATTGCTGTGCAGTTGCACAATGTTGCACAGAGCCTCCATGATGTGCAGGCCATCTGCCAAAAGGAGCCGGCTGACCGATTGCCGATGCTTCCTGGTGGTGCCAAGAACTTGAAGGCGGGGGCAGCTTGCCAAAATCGACCGTTGGGGCGATTTTGGCGACCTACTGTGACCTTCTCTGATTTCTGTGTTCCGCGCTTGGTAGACGGTTGGATGTGTAGACTTCCTTCCAGTGCTGCAAGGCCCATGCCTGGTACAAGGGCTTCAACTGGGCTTGGGATCCTACTGATTTGGGCAAATCTCAGGCCTGTGCCCAGTGTTTAGTCGCCAGCCAGCGCGCATCCGAGGACAAGTTTGTGGAGTTCACTTTGGATCCCCCATTTGCACCGAAGGTGAGGGGCAAGAAGGCCAGCCACGTGGTTTGTAAGTTTAGGCGACCACTGAAGCACGCCAAGACCAGGACTTGGCTAACTTCAGTGTCCATCCGGATGAGATGCCCTGGGCTTGCAGAGCTTACCATGTCCAATCATTGGTTGGAAAGCACTGAGTACCTGAGGCCACGATTCATTGAGTATGTCGATGACGGAAGCGGGTGGGACAAGGCAAGAGTCCTGGACGAAAGTATGGGGCGTGCATGGGCGTGCTTTATGTGGACCGGTTTCGCTCGAGGACTTCGCGACGTGCTGAGAGGCTGCCCTGTGTTGGCTTCGGCACCGACCCAAGAGCAAACATTAAATTTCCTAGTGTGGCTGTTGTTGGACATGATGGGATCCAGAACCACAAGCCCGAGGAGACTGAGATCCCAGACCGTAAACCAGACCAGATCCTGGGCTAAACACAAGAGCATGCCCCCAAGAAAGAAAGATTAAGACAGAGAGAGCCCCCACCGGGGGGCCCTAAAGTGCGCAGAAGAAGAAGAGGAGGAGGAGGAGGAGGAGGAGGAGGAGGAGGAGGAGGAGGAGGAGGAGGAGGAGAGAGAGAAGCCATACTCGAGTGGGGAACCCCCCTCCCCCGCTTGACCCACTGGGCTCTCCGTCAATGGGGAACGTGGGGGAGCCCACTTAAGCCAAGTCGGGGTGCCTTTTCGGCCCAAGTAGGAGGAATGCAAGTCTGACGACAACCTACCAGAAGTCTGTCGCTTTGGAGCAAAAGCTGCAAAGGGGCCGGTAATTCAATCAGGTAATCGACCGCCTGAAATCTTTAAAGCTGCAGAAAGCTTGTGGCAGCACCGGCAGAGGAGGCTGACAGGACGCAGAGGGGACCACACAGGAAGTGGAGGTAGGGGACTACACCCGGCAAAAGAGAAAACAGAGCAACAACTGTGCCCGAAGTTAAGAGGAATGAACCTAGGCTTTTCTTGAGTCACTGTGCTAGGGGGTGATTATATAGGGAGGCCAGTTGCCACTGAATCTCCTAGAACAAGGGCCTCCAAGGAACCAGCAAGTGTCACAATGATCAACCAGAAAGGACGGCAGAGAGGGGGATCGAGGGCCCGGTAGGCCACGAAAACGGTGGCATGAATGCTGTATGCGCATGGACTGGTGTTGATCGTTGTTGTGTTGATACTGATAGTGAGTATGTGTTGAAGAAGTGGCCGATAAAAGTACCCGGTAGTGGATCGATGGACAAACAAGAGTGACGAAGCGCGAGACTCAGGCTTCGGAGGGCCCAGGCTGTGGATTTTGGAGTTGTGTGTTGTTGGTTGGGGGCTGCATGAAGAGCAGCTTTGGGGGATGTCGGTCAGTGTAGCGAGTTGTGGCGATGTTGAAGCATCGCGTCATGCACTGAGGTTCCGTCCCCCACGCCCTAACGAAAGAAAGCGAGAAGGAGAGAGAAACAGGGGCGGGCGATGACGCCCGGGGGCTCCGGCCTCCACGCCCTCCGAAAGAAAGAAAGAGAACGATTAAGACATGATGAGAGCAAAGAGAAGAGAGAGAGAGGTTCTGCCCCAGGGGCCCTCTCGCTGAGCAGCAGAAGAAGAAGAAGAAGAAGAAGAAGAAGAAAAAGAAGAAGAAGCCCCGGATGCAGTTTCACAGTCGCAGAGCACTCGGTGGCGCTCGTGCGCGTAGGGGTCCGCAAGGGCTCCTTCATGCCCCTCAGAAGCAGAAGCAGAAGAAGAATAACAAGAAGGAGCGGAAGAAGGAGAAGAAGAAGTCGGCGCGAAGCCGAGAGCAGCCGCCACCAAGCCAAACAGAAAAGGAGCTGAAGATGCAGAAGCCGCAAGGGCTGAACCAATCCCAATGAGCATGGAACCAATCCTAGCAGAAAGAGAAGCCGCAGTCCAGAACCGGACCCGAAGCTGGACATCCCGGCGACATCCCGGCGACCCCACCGTACATGGACGACCGTGAAGAAAAGCCCTGAAAGCCTGCAGCCGAAGATCTATCACTGCAGAGCTCTGAGTGGGATCCGTCCACCGTGCCAGAAAGGACGTGGTCGCGTTAGCGTTGCGCTTCCCCCTGCGGCCCTGAACTCGTAATCGCAGTTGCTAGGGTTTGGCGGGTGGTCGTGTTGTCAGGGACAGAGAGAGCCCCAGCGACAAAGTGCAGAGGAGAAGAAGAAGAAGAAGAAGAAGAAGAAGAAGAAGAAGAAGAAGAAGAAGAAGAAGAAGAAGAAGAAGAAGAAGAAGAAGAAGAAGAAGAAGAAGAAGAAGAAGAAGAAGAAGAAGAAGAAGAAGAAGAAGCGACAAAGCAAAAGAACAAAAGCAACAGAACCAAGCAGGGAAGGTTAGCAGGGCCTTCAATCATTTGAAAGCAACATCGGCATGAACCAACTTTTGAGTCATCCGGGTTCTCCCAGGCATGGCGCGCCCTTGGAAGTTTGGCAAGAGCGATGGACGCCGGCCGGTTGCGTTTCACCAACTGGGCAACATTCGCAGCTGTCCCGCGCACGTTTAAGACCCTCTCGTCTGACTCTCACCGTGATTCCATGCGTGTGGACCATGATGGCAGGCCACGGTAAGAATCCAGACGGGGTGGTTTCAGTGCTTTATGCCACTCAATTCTAAGTTCTAAGCTTAGTTTCAAATAGTGACTCGGTATTTTGTCACGCGCCGGTGTCTCACTTGGAACTGGTTGCTCACAGGTTGATGGGCCAATGGCTTGGATCAACCTTTGACAACTCTTCTTGAATGTTCATCCGCTGGGCAGCACTGCAGAATTTGCAGCCAAGCGCCTTGCGTTGAGCATCTTCCACATGGCCTCAGCCTCAAGGAACATCTTGCCCAAACACCAAAACTTGGCATGGTGAAATCCAGATAGCAATCTCCTGTTTCGCATGGCAAAAACCGACTGGACAACCTGAGGCCAGGGCTGTTACTTCCAGTAGCAGCATCAATTTAGTGCTGCCGTGCGTCAAACTAGGCTAGTCTGCAAAGAGTTTCGCCGAGTTCCTCGAAGCTGTGTTTTTTCACGAAACGCCTCGTCACATCAACTCGCGAACATCTTGCAGCTGGCGTCGACCAGTAACCTCTTTGCCGGAGGTCCCCGCTAAGATTGCACAAACGTGTCGCGGGCTCTGTAATCGAATGTGTCCCCATGCTAGCTGCTAGGAGTACGTCTCATGCATAGATGAACCAGTCGTTTTGTTTAGCTTTTGTGGACATTGTAGTGATTGGCTGCTGAAGGGCGCCATTTCAGACTTTGCGATCATGCGGCAGAATGCCAGCACACGATGGACATGCACAGCCAGAGAGCTAGGCTGCATTGCATGTCGAGGCCCACAACCATGTTTCGCGCTCACGAACATCCAAAAAAGTGCTGCGTGGATCGCCTGAATTGGAGGTAGTCGTCTCATCAGCCTCCGTGTTTCAGCTTCTGAGCATGAGTGACTACTGTACTACTGGCCCCTTGAGCTTGTCACACCTTTGTTTTCGACTCGCTTGACACAAGACTCAGCAAGCCGTGTGGAGAATGTAGCTCCGTTGCGTAAGCAATCCTTCGACAAGATTGTGCTGCATGGATAGGTCTCCTGTTTCGACGAACTGCTCGGGATATTGACTACCCCTTCTGATTGCTGACCTGACCCCCCTGCATCCCCCTGCTACACCCTGAAACAAGGAGAGTGTGGGCTGTACAAGCGTGGCAAGCTGAAACCCTGTGTTGAACTGGCAGATGGAAAGGGCGCACAAGACGGAGCGAATAAAGTTGGAAAGCCTTTTTCAATCACGACGCGGCCCCGAGAGGTGGTCTTGCTTTTGGTGCCAAAAGTGCTCAACACGCAGTGCGCACCGCAGGGGTGATCGATTTTCGACAATCGCCATTCCGCCAAAAGTCCAAAAAACACGGAAATGATGGCCGGCCATTTTTCTCGATCGTCGAGCCGCGCTTTCATAAGAAGGAGAAGAAGAGATTAAGAACGCAAAGAAGAAAATCTTGTCGAAACGGAGAATTCAGGGAAATAAGAGGAAAAAGAGGCAAATAAGGGGAAATCAACCCAACCTCCGCTGAAAAGGCCTTCGCAATGCTTTCAATAAGAATCAGAGTGAGATTTGCTTGTAAAGATGCCAAGGCGTGTAGCAAGAAACCAGAGGAGCTGCCCGTGACTTCCACACCAGCCACCGAGCAATCCCAAGCGTATGTCCTGAACAACAGCGTGGGCTCTAAAGCGCGACCCTGTAGGAGATGAAGTATTCACAACTATTCACGCAGTCTTGAAAACGCTCATATCGTCTTGATGACCAGCAGACCCAGAATATCAAGTCATGACTAGGGAGGATGATTCGCAAGTGATAGAGGGAAAATGGAATGACCCCACCCATTGACATAAATCAGGTTTGTCCTGCACTTGGGGCCACACGCCTGATTTTGTTTGCGTCGTCATGCAGCTACATTGAAGCGGAACAAGCGATTGGACAATGCTCTCACTTGCATCCCTCGGTAGCAACCACAATCATGTCACATCCAAGTGTACAGGCTTGTGAGGCATGCGGCCATGTCCGATCAGAATTCACAAGTCGATCAGGCGGTCGAGGCCGTCTCATCTGTTGTCAAATTTCCACGAAGCGAGCCGCGAGTTACGATGGCCACTTTCAGTGACCTTTACACAGGCGTCCGAGACCACTTCCTGGTCAACCCAGATTGCGCTTGCCGTTGCAGAGACCGTGCAGCAGCAGCAGCAGCTGCGGGCTTAGGGACTCTGTTGAAGGTAATCGGACTGTATGCGGCCCTCGCAAGGAAAGACCCCGGCAGTGACAGCTGGTGGCGATGTGAGGTGGGGCTATCATGGGGACGAGTGTGTTGCTCGTGTTTGTGTCTCCAGAAGTTCAGTTAGTCGCGGGGTCCCGCGGGGTGCAAGTAATTGCAAATTGCAAGTACATGTTACATGGGATCGCGGGACTCTTGTGAAGGCTGGGGTCCAGTTTCTTTTTGGTGGTTTTTGGTGGTCTTTTTTTCATCCCATGATTCCCATGGCTGCTTGTGGCCGATTCCCTTCGGTGAATTGCGAGCTATTCCCCAACATTTTGGGAAGACTTGGTCTAATGCTTAGGATAACTGGAGCTGCCTTGGGAAATCTTTCTCCGAAGTAGCCGTCCTCTCAAGTTGTGATTGCTTGGGCGACTTTCGGGGGCGGCATCAGCAATGAAAGAATGGTTCCCTTAACTGCGCGGCCCGAAGGGATGCTGGGGATACTGCCGCTTGTTCCTGCAGTGTTTGTTTCGTTTCCTGTCCTGTAGCTTTACGGCGGTCAGGACCAACTATGGGGAGCAGAGGTTAGCAGAAGCTTCTGCGACAAAAAGATGTAAGATCATGTAAGCTCTTGCTTTCACAAGTCACATCAGGTTTCCATTTGTGCGACTCTGGACGACTTGGGTTTTGGTAACTGCCAGTTGCCAGGCATGTTTCCTTGTGGTTTCCCACGTGCTCTTCTTTGTTTCGGCCAATTGGCCGGAGCCTGACCGCATGTCACGGCGCACAGTGCCGCAAGCGGTGCTGTTTATAACTTAGGTTCTTTGCAAAGCTTCTCTATCGCGACTACGAGGTCTGCAACAGCAATGTGACAATTTCGCGGTGAAAGTGCGAAAGTGCAGTAAAGCAAGCTCATCCAGGTCAAGCAGCGATACATCCAGCTTCTGTTTGCGGCTTCGCCGCCATGTTTGAGCAGCTCATTGTGGCTTTCCAGTTCAGCGCGGCACAGGCAACCTTTGCAGCATCTTCCTCAATGCTGGCGTCTTGGGCAGCCTCGGAATCGGCGAGCACAGTGCAAGCACAGTGCGAGCACGATCTTTATTGACACGCTGAGTTTCTGGCCACCTGTCGAGGTTCGAGCTGATGTTGGCTACGGTGGCCGGATTTCTAGATCCAGATGTCCGTGCCATTGCTTGGAAGGTTTCGCTGTTTTCTTGTCAATTGTCCTGCTTTGACAAGCTTGAGAAGCATCTAGTCTTATGATTAATGATGATGAAGAGTCTAAGAAGGGCGACGGAGAGGTTGATCACTGGACCCTCATTTGGCTTGCCTATGTTGCTTTGCCCGCATGCTTTGCCTGCGGCTCAGACGAATCTGCGAGTGCATCCGTTGAGTGAGCGGAAGAATGAACGTAAAGGTGACGCGACGGCTGAGGTGTGGACCTCTGTGAGATCCATTTGCTATGGTTCCCATCGGCTTGCCGTCAGCTTACAGACCAAGATGCCGTGCTGTCGTGTGGCTCCAAACACTTTTTGGTTTTGACTGAGACATGTTTTTTTTCGAAGCACGCAGAATTCAGAGAGCCACGATGTGACACACAGTACACAGAATGTGACACTCACTGCTGGGGTCATTTCGCCACGTTCAGAGGCCTTCGCCTCTGCAGTCCTCTCCCTGCCTCCCTTCTGGTTCCTCGGCTGCCTTAACTGCTTTGGCTGCCTTAGCTGTCTCAGCTCTTGTAGCTGCGCTGTGCATTCAAGAAAGCGCTTTCATGCGCTTTCTTGTTGTCAACCTTCTCAGTTCCCATTTGCGGAGGTACGCCATCTACGTCTCAGGTCGGTGGCAGCCTTGGTCAGGCTAAATCAAGTACCCATGCAAGTTTCGTGGTGTTCTTAGCCTTTATCACTCCACCCTTGCAGCCAGATCTAGGCTGATTCACATTGACTCCGTGAGCTTCTCAGCACGACAGCTGCTTGTTGCAGACAGGGTGGGGTTTTGATGCGTTCTTCACGTGGCGTATTGTGGCACTAGTATGCGCTAGTCACTACTAACGGTACTAACGCCTCTCAGCGTGCGAGCAGAGGATCGCTGTCACTGAATGGGGTGTCGGTGTCTAGCACCTTCTGGACTTCGCCGCTCATGGCCAGTGATGGTCTCCTTCAGAGCTTCTGCAGTACGGGTCGGGCAGTATGCGTTGTCGCGGTACTGGCCCGACATGTACAGCGGCATGTTATGTTGAGGCCGTATTCATAGGACATACGATGTCGAAGCACCTCAATTTAATTGGCCGCTTCCTGCGATTCCCGACGCAAGGTCAGCTTTTCAGCAGATTTACTAATGGCTCGTGACGCCGGCTCAATTGAGTGTTCCCGTTGAAGGTGCACAGTGCCAGTACTCACATGTCTTCAGCACTTGAGGGGCAGTTGGGGTGCACACGTTGACAGAGGTATTGGAGTGTTGGGGGTCACTGTTGTGGCCACATTGAGTGGCTTTGGTGTCGCAAGCTCATTTTCCGACGGCGCGATACCTGATTGTACTGACCAGCGGTCACCAGTGCAGCTTAGGCTGTAAACTTCCCCTTCCAGAGCATGCACTCATTCCTTCGACCCGTCACACAGCAGCAGGCCCTTCTGCATCTTTATGGGGTTTGTTGAGACAGCACGGGAGCATCCAGTCAGGTTGCAGATGTGGAACAACGTCTATTGAGGAGCATTGATGTCCAAGAACTGATGCAAGTCAGGTAAGTGATGTAGTTCTGTGGCCCCCTGTGGTTCTTTCGTAGAGGACAATGAGGCTGATCTCGGCAAGAAAGCGGCAGGAACTGACCTTGAAGCAGGACAGTGGAATACAGTGGAGGTCACCGCTCGTGACGTCTGAGTTCAGAGCTCGCTTTGGCGCAAGGAAGAGAGTCGGCTTAGCGGGGAGGAGCCACTCTCCATTGTCGGCCGAGTGAAGCACTGAGCTGGGAGCGGAGAACTTTTGCGCAGAACATCACAAACCAAATTTGGTAGACACAATTTGTTTCAATGCAAAGATCTTCTTGCAATGGCGTGAGGGCAGGGGTACACGGGCCACCTCAAGTGGAACCACCTGGACAGTAGACTTTGTGGTGTTTGTCGAGCTGTGTTTGGTTGTGTTTTTGTGTTCCTCCGGTTGCTTGTTCGTGTTCTTATTTGACGCTGCTTTGCGTGTGTTGCTCTTCTCTGGCTGACATTGTTTCCTTTGTTTTTCTAAAACTCCAACGGGGACAGGCTAGAGAACGCAGATTGGACCAGTGGCAAGCCCGGCAAGCGTCCTAGGTGGCGCAGCTGGTGCAGAGACCTTTGCTGTCACTGGAGGCATCATGTCTTCTGAATCCGTGTTACGTGTTACTTCAGTTCGTGTGGTACGCTTCTGGGCTTCGCATCAGTGAATAAAACAGGCTTTGGGACTGAATGTACGTGGAGGCCTTCAGCCCATCTGATAGCAACCGTCCACATGCCCTGAGTCTTTGCAAAACCAGCAACCTGCCCAGAGGATCATCGGCGACGCGAAAGCAGCTGATTACAGAAATTCAGGCCTTGGTGAGAAAAGCAAAGACGTCGATGGAAGTGTTTGGCTGCGGTGCCACAGGCGCTTGAAGCCTTCAGCCGTGAATTGTTTGTGGAGCTAGATGAGCTCATTCAGGCTGCGCGGCCTTTGCCTTTGAGTAAGATGCATAGCATGTTCGGCTAGGCCCGGCTATGCGAGCTGAAAGCGCGCACCGTGCTTGGTAGGGCCCTTCGGACTGGTTAGACCTCATTCCAATAAGGGCGCAATGCCTGTGACATGTCTGCGTTTCTCACCGGCCAGGCAATGAATGTTCTTGGCCGGTGTTGCTCTGCCATATGACCCTCGATGGCACGTTCACATGGGCAGTTGGTCAAGCTAGCAACCACCTTGGATAGACGCTTCTAGATCTTCCAAGGTGTGTACAAGATCCTGATGCCGGGGACTCGAAGAAAGCTCTCTTCATGTTCAAGCTCTATCTTCAGTCAGCCAAGGTCATCCATCAATCTCTTGCTCAGGCAGGGCAGGTAGGATGGCGGTAGGGCAAGAGAACAAAGGACAAAGATGCGAGCTGGACCGAGCAGAGATGAAACCCGAACTATAAACCACACACGCACACACACACACACACAGACACACACACAGAAGACAAAAAGGGCAAGAGAGCTCTCAAAGCCTGGCTGTACTCTCAGTAGTGAACCCGGCTCTGCAAGTAACTCATCATTCTGCATGACTTCTATTGACTGCTACATCTGCAGGCGTGGCAGTGCACAGGCTGAAGATCCGGCAACCAGGCGGGACAAAGGCGGGAAAGTTCCAACAGCTATTTCCGGGCCTTGCCAGGCTGCTGACAATCCTACTCCTGAATCTTCGAGCCAGCAACTTAGCAGCTTGAAGTGGCACCGGGGGTATGACAATGCATCCTCACGTGCTTCGTGTCTCCGCTCTCCTGGCCTTTTTTGGCCTTTTTGTTATGCTGGCAGTACACAGCCAACGTTGCGCTGCTTTGCGAGTGGCTGAGGTTCCGGTAGACGTCTCATACTGGGCGCCGATGCTGTCGCTGATTTTCGTAGCACTGGCTTTCTTGACAAGATGTGACGCTGTGAATGCTCGAAACCGTTTTTGCCGCCTCGTCTGCGGGACTCCAAGCTGGCAAGCTGCTAATGAGCGAATGACATCATCAACCATCGACAGCAACAACAGCAAGGCCAAAGCAGATTCCGGAGCCTTATTCGGGAGGAGTATCTTGGTTGGGTTGGTGTCTTCATTGGGTATGTGGACATTTTTTCAAAACGGGGCATCGTGGGAGTGTACGCTTTCCCCCCCCCCTCGATGTGAGGTTGTAAGAATGAAATTAGATTTGATTCCCACTCAGGAGATGTACAACAGTTCGTGATTGTTGCTGTGTTCATTCAAGAACAAGCTGGCAACTGGCACAATAAAGAACGCATTGACAAACGTTCTTGTGGCACTTCAGCACAGTTCCACTCAAAGAGTTTCCTTACGTGTGTTTAAACGCCGATATGCACGAAAGACGCTTCGCCGAGAATGGCAATGGTCGTCGACTGCGGAGGGCACAGCTTCAAAGCTGGGCATTGCATGGACTCCAAACCTGGCATTGTCAGATTTGTCAAAGACAGGGAGTGCAAAGCGGAGTGCAAGAACGACAACTTCCAGGAATGTCTGCGAGATCATCGCTTTTGGCACTCGCTGATTGGGCAAAGATCCCAAGACTTGATCATCTCACTGCCTGTGTGGACATTCAGAACAACGAAAGAAGTTGTCTTTGAGATGCTTTTCGAACACTTTGCAGCAAAGTCTGTCTGCATGGTAAGCTCGGCATTCTTGGTGGCCCTCGCAGCTGGAAGCTCGAATGGAAGCTCGACGGCTTTGGTCGTTGATATTGGCGCGTCAGGGACGAGTGTCACACCAATCGAAGAGGGCTATCCCTTGACCGAGTGTGTTGCGCGAAGCCCTGTAGGAGGAAACGCACTTGACGTATTGATGTCCCAGTTCTTGCAGGATGCTGGCGCGGTGCTGCCCGATGGCATGACTTGGTTTGAAGCTGGGAAAGTTGCAAAGGAGGAGTTGGCTTGGGTGGCACAAGACTTTGCCTTGGAGCTTCAGCACTTGAAGCAGGAAGTGCAGAGGCCGCCAAAGCCACAAAGGTGTGACCTCGTGGGTGTGGGAGGGCAGCGCTGCGCTTTTGAAGCCATCCGGGGAGAAGGTTTTCGGTGTGCAGAGGTTTTCTTTGATCCTAACAGAGTTGGTGGTGTTTTTGGCAGTGATGACTTTCCTGGACCAGTTCAATCATTGCCAGAGCTGGTGCTGGCCAGCTTGCGCCTACAGAGCAACATCAACATACGTGGTCAGCTTCTCCAAAATGTTGTGCTCGTGGGAGGAATGTCGCAGCTACCAGGTTTGCAAGAGCGCTTGGCCATGGAAATCAAGCGCCCTAGCTGCGAAAGCCTGCCGACTCACAATGCTATGACCTGCGTGTAAGATCCCGGGTTCTCGTAAGTATCGTTACTTGTCGGTCTCATCGTCTTCGCCGTCCGAAAAGTGCCAACAGTTGCGAGGATGGGGCCCCTGGGCTTCGCCATCCCCGTAACTGTCGTCACATCCTGGGGCGGGGTGGGTGTGCTCCACAGCAGGGTTTCCTGGTTTCCTGTGTTTGTTTTGTTTCTGTGCAGTACAGCGCAGCTCACTGCATGCTAAGGCTATCCAGGGCTGCTAAGGCTGCTAAGGCTTCAGGCATAAGGTTGACATGAGGCAGAGTGCACTGGTGCTTTGAGGCGCTGCAGCCGCTGGGTGGCTCCAGGCGAAAGCCCGGACATTGTCAAGGCTCGCTTGGTTGATGGGAATGCAGACACTTGATACACTTGTCACTCGGGAGTTTTGCACGGAGGTTTTCGTGCCAGAACATGGGGGCATTCAAGCGCCGGCCACAGATGCTCTTCGTTTGTCAACACTGAAACCAGCCGCATGCCACCACTGGCAGACCCTTCTCCGACTCGACGTTATGTCAGTATGCAAACCCTTAGTTCGGCATTTAGAAAGCAGTTGTGCTTGCGACAAGGCATGGATGGGTGGATCGCTTTTGGCACAGTGCCCTGCTGAAGAACAAACTTTGGGCTTTCGCTGCTCTTTCTGACGCAATCGAAACACAGACTTCGAATGCACCGCATGCTCAGATGCGACGTAATGAAAGACCTTGCCGTCACAAGAGAGACGTACCAACGCTGATGCCTCGGACTGCCCTTCCCGTGCAGAAAGATGCTGGCGATAACAGGATAACAGTGACAACACATTTACTTCATTGGCTTCATGCCCTCGCTTTATGACCTTGCAGGCTCTGGCCCAGACATGGACAGGGGCTGAGCTTGTCACTTTCAATGCAAATCCCATCCCATTCTGCGTCTTTGTGTTTGTTCTCAGGTGCATTCACTTTTTATCTGAAGCAGTGAGTGACCCTCCTCCGAACTGCCTGAAGCCTGGGACTGTACATATGTAGGCCTGGTTGATGTGGGGTCTCGCCGTGGCGCAAAACCGGAAACACCATGAGAGCTCTGACCACATGATTGTTCACTAGACTCTTCGACCAAGTCCAAGTAGCCAGGTGGGCTACCTCGCGTTTGCGAATACTCGCCAGTTCATTCAGCGGCTCCTTGCCATCTTTCGCATGGCCCTGTACCAAGAGCTCTTTATGTTGTGGCACGATCATGTTGCGCATGTGCCCATTCACGAACATTTTGCGGACTCGGTCACCACGACGGAATTCAGCACCTCGCGATTCAGAAGCTCAGTGTCTCTTCTCAGCTCTTCTTGGTTAGGTCCCACTTCGGCGAATGTCTTCTGGTGAAGTAAATTTCAACGCTGTATACTCTGCATATTTCCCACGTTCCCCGTTAATGTTCAAACTTGAGTACATGTGTGTGTGTGTGTGTGTGTGGCAAGTCATCATCCTTTTCAGTTTCGAAGGTCAACTAGTAAGCTTTGTAAAGTCTTATCATTTAACTTACCATCACCAACCGGTGATCCGAGTTTGGGCCAGACAGCGGCCACCTCTCCCCTCTCCCGCGTTGTGGTTTTTCTCATCCACGCTACTTTGCGCTCATTGCCATGCTTGACGGACGGATTGGGTTTGGCAAAGCAGTCTTGTTGACAACATGTATGCCGCCATATCTCACCCTCGAGGGTTGCCTTCGGGTGTCTGACTTCTTGTTGTCCGGCATCTGGGTTGCTCAGCTATCCCTGACCTTGAATAAATGTAGGAATGGGGAGGGGGGGACCCACACGTAGAAAACTTTTTCTGCATGTTGGGCTTTTCCGAAGTCCATTGATGGAGGGGGCAGAAATGGGAGGGGTGGGAGAAGTGGAGGCGTACGCTGTCCTGACCAACAAGTATTGAGATGCAGATGCTAGCAACCAGAAGAGCCGCAGAAATTTCAGTACAGAGGATGCCCCTTCAAGTGTTGCATTTTATGAGGGTACTCAGACTTGGAAAGATTTGGAAAAAGGCTGCTTGCTTCACCGTTGAACCACAGTGCTGTCCAAGCCTTCTCGCAACCTTTGCCTTATGCGTTTCATGCATTTGATCCCTGGCTCGACCTGGACGCGTTGATCCAGGGGGGGCCTCCACAACGAAAATGTGGGGCTCTCACGCTCGTCGTGCAGAACAATCAGCTTCTGTTAACGCATGGCCACTTCACATCAGTCTCAGCTGTAGCTGGCTCTTGTGCAGTTCGCATTCTCGTGTTGTCAGGGTTTTCGATTTCCCGCCCGCCCGCCCTAATAAGACGAGAGGATGCGGCGCCAAGTGCGCCTATTCCATGCGCAGCAGGTGCGCTGATGATGGCTTGCAGCTGATGTGGCTGCCGCGCGTGGGCGCACAGGTTGGTGGGCCCCATGTGGCCGGATGATGTAGAAGCAGGAGGTGGCCCAGTGGTCCTCCAACTACAAGGGACTGAAGTCTCTGTCTGCCCGCGCTAGCACTGCCCGTGTTGACATAAGGTGATGATCAATTCCTTGGTCGCCTCCAGCGAGTATCCACCGCGTTTCTGCCGACAGTGCTTTTGAAGCCCTGCAACAAAAAAGGCGGAGAAAATCTCGGGCCCTGTGCGATTCCCCGCGGCCCTCTTGAAACAAGTCATCCTGGCGCCTCCTTCGCCTCCCTTCCTGCGGTCCAAATTGGCCCAATGCATGGCTCCGCTGACGGAGAATCTGACAAGAGGGCTGCAACTGGTGGATGGCCTTAGACATGGGATATCACATACCCCCCACGCACAGAGGTCTTGGGGAGTACAACCACAACGTCCCACGATACACAACAAAACGTTGTCTTCTGGCGCTTACCTTCGGAACAAACACCCTCGAACGTGTCCCGACAACTTGGTCGTGGAACTGAAAGCTGTATGCATCACTAACCAGTTTTCTGGAGCCGTGAAGCGTATGAGTTCTGTTTTCACAATGGGCAAGGACAAACGGGATGGGCCAGAAAGGACACGGTGGCTGCTCGGGGGGAAGTCGAGCCAGGACCATCCAAGACCGATCCACGCGTCCTCGAAAAAGAAATCTGCAAGCGGACCATCGGTTGCCCGGTGGCCCCAAGTTGCGCGCAGCGAGCATTCCCTCTAAATTGGAGGCGAGATCATCAGAAGGGGCACCGCCAGGCGCAAAGTCAGGGCACAGGCCCGGGCGTTGCTAATCTCAAATTCTTGAGTTCCCCTTCCCAAGATCTTGGCCTTCTACGTGGGGGCGGACGACGACGCGAGCGCGAAGTCGACCGCCGGCCTTGGTGCCTGGCTCGTGGGCATTCGCGTGCCGGTGTTCGGAGGCTCTGACAGGAACCTCGTGGCCCATTACTGGTGGCCCGAATTGCCGTAGCAGACTCTGTGCTGGCTCGAGGTCCACGTGCCAACCCCATCTCGCAAGAGCCTCGTGCTAGAACTCCATGTAGCATGGGCACCATCCCAGTCAAGATCCGTGGGAGCCGAAGTGGGCTTCTGACATGGATGCCCCAATATGCACTGGTCAAAAAAAGGAGTCTCCCAAGGAAGTCATTGCGCTGCACCAGGCGCATGCCTGATGCACTCGGGTCTATCCCACACTCTCCATCTCTATCTTCTCCATGCGGCGGTCCTGGCGGGAGATCTTGACGCTAACTTCACCAACGATCTGGAATGCGGAGTACGCGCACCTGAAGTGCATGCAGGGCCTGTGCACCACGCAAAGGGACAGCGCGATCATCATGTTTGTCGGGAGGTCACTAGTACGTCACTAGTGCCGGTCTATAGTGGTCCATGCTGGTCTATACCGCGTGTCGCCTTCGCCCGCGAAGCAAAATACCAAGCCGCTGAGGTGTCTACATCTGTGACATCGAATTCACTCGCGTTGTTGTTGTCTGAGGCACTGCCATTTCTGCATTGGGGAATGGCAGCTAGTCTAGCCTGAGCTTTGCACTCTTGCGCAGGTCATGGCCATGTATTTTGCAGCTTGCGTCATCCTTACACTACGGCAGGGGTCCCAAAGTGTGGAGCAAGATAGCTCACTGCCAGTGTGGAAACTCAACGATGTGATGTGCCGTCCAGGTTCGTACCCAAAAGCAGTCGTGCAGATCTGCTGATGATGGTGGGGGAGGTGGAGAGCTTTTCATGTCTGGAAGAGTAAGGATTCTTCCACGAGGTCTGTCCAAGCCATCTTGTGACGAAGGTGGATCTATCATATGTCCATCTTCACTTCGATTACGTGCCCCGGATGTAGGGCAGCTGCCGCATGGATTGCCCATGCCTGTGCAAGAGTTGTGCAATAGATTGAGCAACATCGCCGAAACTGCCGAAACAGGTCTTTCTCTTGTCGTCCCTGTGCTCTCTGGCAGTGTTCGGTCTAAGTTACTGGCTGAATCCTGGCAGAAGGCTAAAGTGCCACGGTGTGCCTGTGATGTGCCATCCTCTCCCTTGCTGTTTGAATCTTCGCAAGCCAAGGAAGGGACCTGCAGCAGACTCACCGCATGCGGATTAACAAGATCTGTCCGTGCAGCCACCGCCGCCACAATCAGCACATAGCCTTTGCAGCTATCGGCAAGGTCTCTAGATTGCCCCCGTATTTGTGTCGAGCGAGACACTGCACCCTCCACCAACCCAGAACACGAAGTTGTGAGGATTGCAATATTTCTGGCCATTTTGATCATGCACGTGCAATAGCAAACCTGACTCGAATTGCATTCAACGCACCACAGCCGCAGCCCAGCTTCAATGTGAATCTGACAGCAGAAACTGACAGCAGCACGCACCACAGCCGCAGCCCAGCTTCAACATGAATCTGACAGGAACTGACAGCAGCACGGCAGTTGCAGATGGTTTCTCGTGTCTTCAAGCAGCATGGGCTTGAGAATCAGAAGGAAGTTCTATGGTTGTACTTCCAACATCGACTCACAGACTACGCCAATAGGTGATCGTATGGCAGGTGTTTTTAGCTGTGCAGACTAAGCTTGCAATATTAACAGATGCTTGGCAGAGATGTTTCTCGTCATGCCTCGGAGTACGGTTTGTAGTTCGTAGCGTGCAACGGTTCACGTGTCCATGGAGGATTGCTTTAGGCTTGGACACGCGGGCCGGCTCATGGCCAGTGCGAAGCATGGATCATGATACTACGAGCACCCCTGGCAATCGGCAGAGGCTGTTTCAACTGGTGGCACTTGCTCATGGCAGGTCGTCGCATGCTTTCCAGCTGCCGGGGCTTCGTTCGTGCATCTGGCAGCGCAGGCACGAATCTGCGTTCTGCGTGCCAGCTGCATGCAATTGCCAGGTGAAAGATGTATAAAGATGTTCATGTCAGTACAAGCGACAAGGAGGGCAAGATGCCTTGGGCAGGTCCCTTGGCATGCTTTGCCTGGCTTGGATGCTGGCTTGGAGCGCGCTGCTCGAGCAGAGTACGAGTTGGGTGTGCAGGCCGGGCCCTCAGCAAGTCTCACCAGCTAGCCATCGGTGAACGTAGGACGAAAGCACACAACTCATGCTGACTCACGAAGTCCACTTAAGCCATGGTGAGCATATTGAGCATCGAGACAAGCATGGCTCTTCCATGTCACGACGCAGGCATGGAATTTGCGCCAACCGGAACAGGGCTTGGAGCTTTTTCTGAGGACGGCTTGGTGATGTTTGATGCACGCTGCAATGTGCATGGCAAGTGCCGCTGCTCTACCTGCATCATCGTATCTCATAATCCAGGCAAGACTGCGTGGCTTCCGGTTTTGATGATTTGGATAATTTTTGATAGCGGTGAGCGTGCAAGTTTTGGGCGAGGAGCGCACAAAAAGGCCATCAAGTGGGCGAGTACAGGACTCAGGTTGTGATGTATTGTGACGTGGACAGGTTCTCATAGGTTCTCTATGGTTTGGACATCTTCCTGAACCTGTTTTACCATACTGCTCTCTATGCTGAACTATGTTGAACCTCTCTGCCGCATCACTCCCCCTTCTGGTTGAAATGCTGGGGGGAAGTGTCTCTGACCTATGTGGGGGGGGGGGGGGGGTGGACGTTGAAATATTTCAAAATTTCCGGTGCCTTCAACCATGAAAATATTTCAGGTCAGCGCGTTGTCGGGCCAGTCTCTTCAGCCTGCATGGGGGGGGGGGGTTAGACTGGGTAGACCATGAATTATGTCGGGTTTATTTTAGCCGTGGGTAGACCCTCCCCCAGAGCCCTCAGCACAAAAGGCAAAGCTAAAAAATGTGCGAGCCTTTCTGCCTTTCTGCCTTTCTTCTCTCGCCTGGATGCATCCGGCTTGACAAATGCCGGCGCCGGCCCTTGCAAATCTGACAGAGTGTCAGCGAGGCAAGCATGTGCAAGAAACTTCAAAAGCGTTTCGCCCTCGGTCCCGGTGCCACTAGGCAGAAGAGCCATACTTCAGCGAAATCTCGGGTTTTCCATAAACACGGGGCCTGAGGGACGATTCAGCCAAGCCAGGAATCTCCACAACATTCCCCGTAGGTACTTCCAGGACCTGGTTCAGCCGGATGCAACGGAGCTCAACGAAGTCTGTTCTAAGTAAGGTGCTTCGGCCAGGATGCACTCGTGCATGGGGTGCGCCGACAGACTGCGGAGTCGATCCGAGCGAGAAAAGAAAGGTTCGCCCTTTGTCAGCTTCGCCTTTGTGCTGGGGTCCTGGAAAGTCCCCTGCCTACCTCCTTCCCTGAACACTCATGAAATTGCAAAATGTTTCAAAGGCAGCCCCCCCCCCCCCCCCCAGGCAAAAACCATTTCAATCTCAGGCTCGAAATAAAGCCAGCTCGTTGTTTAGGTGGGCAAGGGTGTCACTTCCCCCACCCCAGAAGACGTCTATCAATATTTTGGGTGTTTGGCTTCATGATTCTCCACATCTGCCAATGCTCAGTACTTGCATGATCCAAAACGTTGCCTGCATTTGCGAATCAGCAGAATGTTCTTCTTGTTTGTTGCTCATAATTGCAGTTGGTGCTTTCTTTCATCAACATGTTCGCATGCTTTCCAAGGTACTGCTTCCGCTACGGGATGCCCGCTGTCTGTTTTGGGGTTGGCGTGTTGCATTATGTTGCCACATACGATGCCACTGCCAGCAATGGAGCAGCTGGGCTCGTAAAGAAGTCTTCGAGGAGTGATCGACGTAGTGTCATTGTGAGAAATGCAGCAGCCTGCATCGCAAATGCAGTCGTACTCTACTATACCGGAATGCTATACCCAATGTACTGGCTGCGCATGGATGGATCCAGAGCCGCAGTGCATCTCAAACCGATGCCTTCTCCGGCGACTGCATGTCCGTGCAAGATGGTCCAGCCCCTCTGCTTGATCATGATCTCCTGGAGTGCCCTGACAATACCCTCTGCTCAATACATCGCTGTTCTGCTCCGATTTCAGGTTCTCCAGGTTTTCAATTCTGGATGGTGTTGAAGCCTCGTCAGCTCGTCATGTCCCATGTCCTTCGCCGAGTCAGCTGCCCCAGCAGGTCCAACATTCTGGTTAGACACGCAAAGGACCCTTTTAGCTTTCTCCTCCAGGTGTAAAAGTTCAACAAATCCTGCTCAAAAATCTAAGACTTGCGGCATGACTTTCGCAGCTACTGGTAACAGACCCTGCGATCTTTTGCTCTCACACGGCTGCATCAGTAGTTTGCTGTGGTGCTGGACAAAGTGCCACAGTTTGCTTGATGGAGCTGGTTGCAAATTATGTGGACTACAGTAAATCAAGCAGCCTGGCTGCTGTGCTGAGATGGTGTGACACCGCCGGCTTGTACATTTTGAAGGACGTACCTGAGCAGAATGTGAAGCAGAAGCTGCGGGCAATGTGGTGGCAATCGGCGGTCATGCGAGTGATCAAGGCTGAAATTCAGGTCCGTGGCGCAGCTTGGGAAACCATTTTCGCGAGCACGGCGGACTCTGGAACCTCAGTGCTCGCAAATCCTACCCTGACACGGCTGGGAAACACCAGCTACACACTCCAAACTCAGCTGTCACTGGCAAGTGGCGGCACACCGTTGGCTAGAGTTGAGACGGTGATGGTGCAGTTGGATTCAGATCTACAGCGCCCTGTGCCTTTACCGCACAACCATCTCAAGCCTTTATTGCGACCGTTGCCAGAAATCACGATCCCCACCGTGTGCGATCCGCCTCCATCCTGCTTCACATGGACTGTCCAGGTAAGACCATCCGACTGTGATTTGCTGGGTCACATGAACAATGCCAGCTACGCTGTTCTTTTCGAAGATGCAAGACGTGCGGCGATCGCAGGAGGTTCTGGAGCAATTGAAGCCGTTGGATCAGATGACGGTTTGAGGATGGCGTCTATCGAGTACTTGGCTCAAGCAAGAGCCTTTGATGTCCTCCGAATTGCAGTATGGTGGGATGGTCAGTGCCATGCTTACGGCCTTGTAATGCATACCTGCAGTGCATCTGTTGTAGCTCGAGCTGTTTTGGTGCCGTTCGAGGTCTCTCGTCTGTGATTTGCTGTGATCTGCTTGACAAGTGTTGTTTGTGTACAGAGCAGCTTCAATGACCGGCCGCGCCAACGCTGTGCTCAAAACGTGAACCGAATCCTCAACTGGAGACCCTCCTTGCAATGACATCCAGTCGCCGGCTGCCAAAACCAAAACCCCCCCCACTAAGCCAGCAACCACTAGTTGTCTTGAGGAGGAAGGCCATGGAGGGCCTGAATTTTGCAAGCTTGTTGCCGTTTGTTGGTGGGCTCGGGGGCTGCAGGGAGTGACTAGCACAAGATTGTCCTTGTACGTCTAGGGAGGCGCGAGCACGAAATGAAAGTTTCGTTTTGGCTATGTCCTATGCAGACAAGCTCTAGATTTTTGGCGTGGCCGAGCCGAGGACTGGAGCGTCGCGATAATCGCATCCTTGTGGTTGTGCGTTGCAGATGATGCAGGCTTGGTTGTCCTGTGAGCTCGATGATGCTCGATGACATGTTTAGCTTCCAAATTTCATATGGATACATGTACATGTATATATATATATATATGGAGAGAGACATATGTACTCATATATATATATATATATATATAATATCTATCTATCTATCTATCTATATATATATATATTGTATGTATATGTGTATATGTGTATATGTGTATATGTGTATATGTGTATCTGTGTATATGTGTATATGTATATATGTAGATATGTATATATATATATATATGTACATATGTACATATGTATATATGTATATATGTATATATGTATATATGTATATATGTATATACGTATATACGTATATATGTATATATGTATATATGTATATATGTATATATGTATATATGTATATATGTATATATGTATATATGTATATATGTATATATGTATATATGTATATTTGTATATTTGTATATTTATATATTTGTATGTATGTATATATGTATATACGTATATATGTATATATGTATATATGTATATATGCATATATATATATATATATATATACACACATACATATATCGCGAAAACGCCTGGCGGCGAATCAGCGGCCACTCCCCAAGATTGTTTGTAGATGTGAACGCAACACCCACACAGGGGGGGGAGGGGGGGGGTGGGGAGGGGGAGAGGGCAGAGGATCACCAGCATATCTCCGCTGCCTTGGCTGATTTTGGCCGTTGTGTGGCTCCCGTAAATGCCATGTTTTTCCATACAGAAG